GGAAGAAAAGGAATAAATTAGGATAGCGATATAAAATAATATAAAAAAATAAAAATACGATATCGAGCATACCCATAGCAGTCTCCTCAAGTCCTATCTTCGTCTTTATGATCTCCATGACGTCCCTAGCGGTCGCGGATGGATGAAATTCGACAGCGTGATATTGACCGTCCATAAAATGGAATCTGGCATAGATCGGCCGACGATTGATAGTGCACATAATCTCCTCGCGACTCGGCGGCCACTGCCGCCTGCGAGTGCCCTGAGTCTTGTAAAGGCACTTTTCTGCAAACCTCGCGTACTTACCCTCCTCAGTAACATAATCGCTAGCGCATCGTTTCAGGTGTGCTATTAAGTACTTGCGTATTGTCTTTTGAGGCGGTAGGATTACGGAACACGCGAGCGAAAGCAATGCCCAGTGTCGCAGATTGACACGATTATTGGGATCTGGATGATCAGTGGTTTGCTTGATCAACTGGAGGTATAATTCACCCAATAAGTTTTCTTTTCGTATACAACGTTCCATTACGGTTTGTATAAGATTCACGTGCTCATCCTCAACCCTACGTACTGTATCTCCATTTTGCCCAAGTCCCGCGTACGTCAAAATTAACTGGAAGATATTTAGAGATACTTGTTCATCGGGATCAGGTAGTTTCGATAGACTCTGCGGTATCTGTTGCCTGTTGAACGCCCAGTAAGCATACGGGAAACCCTTATAAGTCTCGCCGTGATCGGCACTTCCGTGTTCCTGCCTGAGCTTTTCTATCCGATGCTTCGATAATCTTCTAAGTGTATTCCGAAGAAAACCACCACCGGAATCTTGCGGTTTTCTGAGAATCTCCGAGTCGACTAGAGTTCGCCGACAATTGATTAGATTGTGATAGAGTCGAATGCGATCTTCGTTAGTAATACACTTGAGTTTCTTCGTGGGTACCTCATTCTCTGTGATCCAACCCGCCAGTGCTGAACAGTAACTGACAATCAGACTACCAATCTCATTTTTTTGCGGCGTCTCGAAAACGAAACACTTGTGCGAACTATCGGGATTATGTCGCAACAACGAGAGCGTGATGAACGAGTCGCTTGGATCTAACATAATGCTTTCGACATCCTGATAACGATATTCGGACAGAACGAATTTATCATCCGGCTTGATTAGCATCAGACCGTCACAGTTGATGCCGAGAATCAACTGGTTGCCATAAGACCAGTATCCGCGATAAGTTACATTGAACATCGTTGTGCCATAAAGTGGATACTGCATCACGCAGGATAGATATAGAACTTTAGCAGCGAGCTCTTTGCGTCCGGCACCATATTGCCGATGTGCTTGCGCTATAATCGGCACCCAAACGTCATCGCCACGAGCTCGACTGATTCTGTAAGGTAGGAAGCTATCCACTTCGCTGTAATAATCTAGTCTATCATTATCCTTGGGATCGCCGAGGGACACTTGTGCTTGCAATCCTGCCAATTGCAATGCCACTTTCTCGGACACCGGAAAATCATCGCACTAAAAATAAATACATACAGGATAAGATAATTTTAAACATGGTACAATTCTAAATGAAATAAAATTTGAATTCAATTTTCGAAATTCAAGTTTGGTAACCCTCTTATTATATAAAAGATACTGAGAGAAACCAAATAGAAAAAAATCAAACTTGAACTTCGGAAATCGATTAAAATCTTATTTCGTTCAGAATTATACCATCTTATTCTAAAAATAAAAGCTTAAATTGTGAAGCAATCTATTTGTTATAATGAAGCATACCTTTACGACGTTGTAGACCGCTTGCGCGTATAGCATATTAACTTCTACGGGGTCCTGCGAGATCTCCCTTGGATTACGGAATAACCTTCGTTTGAAGACAAAACGATTGTCGCCGCTGCCTAAAGTAGTATTGTTACCGCGTCGCAGTGTCGAAAACGTCGACTGTGCCGTATTCAATTTGCATTGTTTCCTGTAATTATAGATGTTATTGTATAATAATTCTATGTGAATATAATTGCGTTCACACTTACATTTCCCATGCAGCAATCACGTCGTACAAGTAATCGTGAGCTCGCACGTGCTCCTCTCCATCCGGTCTGCTTTGATAAATGGCCCAACCTTCTAGCGACCGAAGACCCAACTTTTCTCCTAATTTGGCGACAGCATCAGCGGCTGTGTCAATTGGATGCACGTCGATCGCCTTCGTTCTTCCATCCAAGAAAAAGAACCTGCATACTATGGTGCCCAATCGTCTCATGGCAGCGATTTCTACCGTAGATGGTGGATGTTGTCTGCAAGATACCTTAGTATTCTTGCAATTATCTACGCACCACTGCACATACTGTCTCAGCTTGCCTTCGAGGGCAAGATTCTTTTTCAGGAAGGAGACAAAATACTTGTAAAGTAACTTGCTCGGTTGGAAGGCGACGATCGCCAAGCACAATAACAGCCACACGCGTTCCGACCACTCAGCGTTGGGATTATTCGTCGCTTGACGCATACATTGCACAAAGATTTCATCTCTTAACTCTTCTCGCTCGATCCCATAAGCGATGATACTCTGAATCGTGACTATCTCTTGATCCAACTTCATTTCACCGCGAATATACTTACACAAATCCTAAGAAAAAGAATAACATAATTATATATCTTAATTATAACATTTACAACACAACAAAAAAAACTTTAAACGGAAAGAAAAGAATTTTTTACAATTTTTTAATAATTTTAATGCAATTCCAGTCTCGAAGATGTTCTAACTTTACGGTCAGATTGCTGCAGATCATTGCCTTCAAATTATTGATGAATTTACTTAAAAATTTACTTAAAAGTTACAAGAAATAATTATTCTTTTCTTTGAGTTTTCTGCAAGTGTTATAATTAATGCAGGCGTACCCTGAACACGGAACACGCAACATTCACGTTGTCGGGATCATACATATGAATATGCGAGTTCGGGATACTCGATCCTTTGTAGTATGTAACCATCTCGTACTTCGGAATGAATTCGATACTTTTCCCGCGTGACTTCCTCGTTAACGTAGCCATTATGGTACCCTCCGGCGAACGTTCATGGCTGTTAAAATAATTCTGCGCAAACTCTACAATATCGTGGTAGGTCACCTCGTTCTCCTGCTCCTTCTTGTCCTCAAGCTCTTGCAGTTTCCGCTCTACGCGAGTCTTGCGCCGCTGCTCACGTTCCACAGGCACTTGCTGCACCGTCTGCGATTGTGACTGCAGCTGATCGTGGCCGTTCTGTTGCACCTGGGGTATCGTCTGATGATGATGATGATGATGGTGAGCCGGATGATGGCCGGAACTCCTGGATTCTGGTCTGGATGGTGGACTAGCGACGATTTCTTTGGTTATCTTACCACTGGGTGGAGGCGGTGGTGGCGATCCGCAAGTCTCACCGTTCATTATCTGGCTCGGACTGCCGCCGTTATGAATTGGACTGCCAGAATCATTCGCTTCTCGCGGCAACACTGACTCGTAAATTGGCTCGCCATTATCATCTGATGACTCGCCATTCACAGTTAAAGGCGGCGCCGGAGGTGGTGGTGGCGGTGGTGGTTCCGTGGGTTCCGGAAGACTTGGTTGACCAAGTTTGCCGCTACTCAAATTATTCGAGCACGGCATTCGCTGTTGCTGCGGAGACTGTACTTCCTGTCCATTCATGGGAGAAGCGATCTTCGACTCGGCCTTGGCATTCAATTCCATCTCTTGTTGAATAACATTTTCTAATTCTACGTCAAGGTCCTCTACCAATTCATCCATCTGTTCCCCGATTTCCTCGATAATCTGATTACTTTTAGTTGATTGTACATCAGATAGGAAAGAAAACAGATTGTCAAGATCTACCGATTGCAAATCCGTGACAGCTATTTTCGAGTTCATTTGCTCGGCCATCTGTGACAACGCGTCGATTTCTTCTTGCACTTTCCTGCAAAATTAAAAAGAAAATTGTATTGTCGTTATCGATTGATATTTTTTTCCAGAAGTACAGATGCTAGTGTTACGAGCAAAATAAATTTCGTGTAACGATGATCACAACGAGGTATTTGACGCAGTAAATTATAAAATATGCCTTGAAAAAATCAGATAGCAAATTCGGTTGGACATTGTTATACACAAAGATATGTTTAATATAAATATAAAAACGCGTTAAAGCGTAAAATCCTTGATACATTTTAATGTTAAGTAAAATATGTGCTCTATAATTCGAAATATTTACATTTTATTTTTACACTGAGATTAAATTAGTGTACAACAATTTTAATATGCATTAGTGCATTCAATTGAATCGCTAAGAGATACAAAAATCATGAATAAATTTTAGCTACATACAGCTAACCTATAATATTTATATGCTATAACTACGATAATTTTTCTTTAAAAATCTCTGTTCAAAGATTATAATATTTTATTTAAATTTATATCATTGTAATATTTATATCTTAAAATCGCGTGCTTTACGCCGTTCTTCTCAATTATAAATGTGTGATTTTCTATCATGTAGCGTTTAATTTCATAATCGGTCTTTAATATAAAACCATGCGTATATCAAACGAAGAAGCGATAAGACTCGCGTTTAAGGTACACGCAATATTTAGCATGCAACGAATGCATGCCGTCATATACACACGATCTTTTCCATCGTCGGACTTACCCAGATTCCATCTCGGCAATACCATCGTACTGCGCGCTATAAAAGGAACACAAACGGAAACGATTAATGCATACAATTGATCGGCACGCATAATTAATCGGTTCCATTGTTATCAGTTATCTTACACGAGAATTACCATCGTTGCAAGCAAGGTTCATGGGAATTAAGAAATTCAAACAAAGTTGATCTCCCATACCTTTGGCTCTCTTCCAACGCCTTCTTATCCTCCATCATCCTTCGTTCCTCCTCCAACCGTTCTCTCTTTCTCATCTCCTCATCGACTCGTCGCATTTCTCGTAGAGCTGCGGCTACTTCCCTCGCAAAGACACCTCGCAAATGACTCTGGATCACTATAGCTGCCCTGCGTTTCCTGATGAACATTATTCGTAACTTCCAACCGCGATACGCATGCTGCATCTTCAGTGTCGCCTCCCTTGTACGTTTATACTCTATTGGAACAGAGAATAACATTATTAAGTATAATATGATTTCCAAATGAAAATATATTAATTATTCCAAATAAATTAAAGTATAATATAATTTCTTCAAAGTTAAAATTGAATGTCGCATTTCTCTTTCTAATTTACTCGGAATAAGAATAATTTTTTATTTGTTTGGAAATTGTATTATATTTATATCTTGAAATTTGAAAAATATGACCTTCAGAAAATTTTTTGCTTATTATAATATTGGTTTTTTCAAAACAAACAATTTTTCCCTTTCATATTTTATATCATATTGTTGAAAACAACAGATATTTTAAATTATAGCGTGAGTTAGGAAACATATAAAGATAGAAAAGCAGATCATACCTCGTCGTTTAATGTATCCTCGCCAAATCTTCTGTATCACAATGGCGTTCCTCGTTATTACCTGATTTCTGGAATCTTCCAGAGGCTCGTGCACGTAGCTCCGCAAAAACACCTTTGTCCGGCCAATTTGCCATTCAGTTTGCGGTATATCTTGTTTACTAATCAGACATCTAACTGCCTCCTTCTCGTTAGAGGAAAGTGAGGATCGGCTTTTATCCAGACAACGATATCTCGCAACGAAATCGTGGAACGACATGTGTATTGGGAAGCCCTCCTTGCGTATGCGTATGATATCGAGCATTCCAAGATATTTGAGTTGGTCCATAACGAGCTTCTCATCGTAATGATTGGCCATTTTCTCCATGTTCGGTTTGATACAGCGCGCGTACCACGGCGTCGTTCCCTGTAAAACATCTACTAGGGCCTGCAACTGATGCCGGAATGAGTCGCAGAGAGTCGGTTTGCCCTTGGACGTTCCTCGCGACATCGTAGTAGTTGTGCCCCCGGTTGCACGCGCGACGGTACATCCCAATAGATCCTGATAAACGCTGATCTCCTGTACAAACTCATTTGTACTTCTGGACATGAAATCGAAGAATACATCCTGCTGTACGTCCCGATTCTTGTCGACGAAACCTTCGACAGTATATGTCACACACCCGGCATAATGCTTGACCCCAAATTCCTTCTCCCATTTCCGTCGATCGTCTCCCTTCACGTAGCACGGATGGTTCTCAAATTCAGCGTGCAGGTTTGTCAGATAAGCTAGATCCGAGCCTTTCGGCATATGGCACTGCTCGGTGAGTAACTTAAGAACACATCGCGGAGGCTTCTCAATTAGCTCCAGGCACATGGTGTTGTCAGTGAAAGTGATGTGAGAGTATTGGATCTCTTCTTGGTGATACTAAACACATATTTGATATTTGTATATTTATTTATGATGAATTAACTTTTTGGCAACAAAACAAAAAATGTACGAAAGTGAGGGATAAAATAAAGTTTTAAAGCTCAAATTAAAATAAACTTAATTTAGAAAACTTAAAATAAAAATATTCGAGCATTAAATCATTCTCTCTTAAATCATTCTCTCTTAAATCATTCTCTCTTAAATTATTCAAATTAGAATATTAAAGAAAGTTTGAATGAAAAAAGCCACTTTTATTTGTCTCATTTTATCTAAAATTAGATGTAACAAATTGAATAATTCGAGATGTTCGAGACTTTTAAGCGTCTCTTAAATAGATGATCAATAGTAATATAAAATATTTAATATTAGACAATATTATTGATCATCTGAAGGTTACATTGAGTCTCTAGACTTTGTTTTTTTGCTTAAAAGAGATATCAACAAACAGTATTATACAAAATAATTGTACAATATATTGTGCGTTTAAGCTCTGATAATTTAAGATTTTAAAAACTTGTGCAGCTTCTCGTATGAATTGTTTGGTCATATAAAAATTCTGAGCACTGGAATAAACTTACGAGTTCCTGCTCCAACGCAAAGACGTAGTGATTGAAAAACTTGTGCAGCTTCTCGTTCGTGTAGTTGATGCAGAGTTGCTCAAAGCTGTTCAGTGTAAAATTCTCGAATCCGAAGATATCGAGAACCCCGAGGAACCGCGAGATATCCTGACCTGGGTTCGTGCAGTTGTTGATGTGGTTGATAAGCCAAGCAAAAGTGCGAGAGTAGAGTGCCTTTGCCATCGCGTGCCTATTCTCCCTGGCCTCTTGCACCTTCAGTGGAATCTCCGTGATATTACCGCGAACGTTTATCTGTCGTATCAGCACCACCTTGGTGAGATCCTCCACCTGAAGACCTAACAGCGGCGCAACCGTGTCGACTATATTCCCGTCCTCCTTCGATAACTCGCATCTCTCGCCATCGACGTCCTCGAAGCTCAAGTTTCCGAGCCACAGGATGGCCGATAGAACTCGGAAGATGCCTTCACACATTTCCGGCGCGATCTGCACGAAGACGGATAATAATTATTTGACAATAATAGGAGTGCAAAATTCTCTTCCTCGGCAGAGAAATACCTGGAGCACATTAAAGGCGAGCCTGAGAGAATCGAGTTTCTTAGAGTCGGAAATTCCGTCGATCTTCACGCAGCCGGACTGATTGAGATATTTGTAGTGGCTGGCTGGCCTTAATTTATATTGCTCCGCAAATTCTTTGTCCCTCGTGCCGGCCTCGACCAGCTGATAGAACACGTGATAATTGCGCTCTCCGGGGCTCTGAAAGGTGATACGACTCTGCTCCAGCAGATAGTCTTGGATGATACATCCCTTGATCATCCACTTGTTGTCGAAACACACCTGCATAAACTTGCCAAAGCGCGAACTGTTGTCGTTCCGTACAGTTTTCGCGTTGCCTGTTTTAAGAAGAGAATAAAATTTCTCTCGTTAAACTTCATCGTTTTAATTTGAATATTGAGAAAAATTCAAAAACTAAATTTGTTATTACCAACTCTAAAACGCTATCAATATTAAATGATTGAAAAACAGTATTATTATCGACACGTAAATTGTATAAGAAATTAGAAAATAGGTCACTCTTAAATAAAGTAACATAAGTTTTTTATACATTTCTCACTTTTAATCACAAAATATTTATAATCGAGATCTTTATAAACACAAATAATCTAAATATTGACTTAAAAGAGAAAAAAAGAATAAGCACGCTATCAAAATCTTAAAATAATATAGAGTGTGTAGTCCAATTGATGTATATCTACTCATAACATTTAAATAAAAAATATATAATACATAATAAAATAATATAAAACAAAACTATTTTTAAAAATTGAAATCACCGTTTTCTGTTATAATTATACAGATCATCAAAGAGTACAAAACAATATAAAACGGATAGAATTTTTTAAAGCTCGTTTTCTCTCGTTTTAGCTTTCAGTATGATTGAATTGAATTTCCTAATGATCACTGAAGGCATAAATTAACGTTCAATAATTTCGTTCACTACATAAAATTTACATATCGATAGCATTCTAAGGTTAAGAAGAGTTTAAAAGTTTTACAATATTACTGCGTTAAAGATAATTTTTTAAATTCTTTTATAATGCATTTTTAAGAGGAAATATATTTACAAATATTCCGAGAGAGATATATGCAGAATAGGAGGAGCCAAATCTTCCCAAGATTATTTAAATGCGAAACATAGATAAAACTCTGTGACGAAGATAAATGAGATAAGCTAGATTTAAAAAAGAAATTATTATCTCTCTCTCATGCAGGTGAATGAACGACGCTGTCTAATGTGTTTTATTCATAAAATCTTTTTGTCTCGTGACCCACTTCATTTCCCTTCATCACTGCATTTAACACCTGAGTTGTTCGCACCTAGATTACGATTAATGAATCGCACTTGTTTACTTCTGAACGCACGATTAGGATCCACTTTATCGTCTCCGTTTATCTTCGCTTCGGTTGAAACGGCCGATTCTTTAACAGTCTATTACCGTAATCCAATTCTGAAGAAGGTAAGTTGTTCCTAGCGATACTCAATTCATTTTTAGCCCATTGTTCCTTTTCTGACATCTAACAGTTCTATACCGAATCTTAAATTCTGACGTATTTTCGCGGGTTGCGACTTATACATGGACTCTTCGACCTTGAGATCAATTTTATCAGAAATATCGATGACGGACACAATTATCCAATTTAAAAAATAAATTTAAAAAATCTCCAATTTTATGATACAACATATTTTCAGCATCAGATATTTATAATCTCAGTTTAAGATTAACGTATATTTAATCATAATCACTATTCGTGAGTTTAGTAGACCCGGACATTTTCTTCAAAAAAATTTACGATCATATAGATCAATATGATCAACAAGCTTTACAAATTAAGAAATAAACAAGTTTCACAAAAGATCTTACAATAAATGAAGTTATCAAATACCAAAGAAAATAGTTTTTAAATAAAATTAGTAAAAAAGTTAATTATATTTTGAGTTAAACTCGAACAGACTAGGATTATAAACTACTTTATAAGTCTAATCATGTCATTCAAGTTTTGTTATAGCGATTGAGGAAATATTTCATTATTGGAATTGCTATTAGATTAATTTAATCTGATTAAACGGCAAAATTCATTCCAATGATTTGAGCCAAAGCAGAACATTTCAATTAGCAAATATTTTCTGACAAATTAGTGTATAGAGAATGGGAGAGAGATATCCGGAAAATATATAATCACAAAATTGCAAGCGCGATTTGGAACCTGGATGTAATTAACGGATAATTACCAAATGCCTCGAGAATGGTGTTGGCCTCTAGAATTTGCTGTTCCACCCACGTATCGACGTTGCTAGTAACCGAGCATAGATACTGTAGGATGAACTTGGTAGTCTCGGTCTTGCCAGCACCGCTCTCTCCCGATATCACACAGGACTGGTTGCTCACGGTGTCCTGTAAGGATTTGTATGCCGCCTCCGCCAGGGCGAACACGTGTGGCTCCAAGGCGCCCATCTTCTGGCCGTGGTATCGATTCACGTACTCCTGCGAAAAGACGAGGAAGACGCCCTTTTCGGTGAAACGAGTTCCGGTCGTTAACGAGGTGCCGCCGCTCCTCTTTGCTACAACCTCGTGAGAATGGATGGTCTTAAAAGCTTCGATTCGCGAACAGCATTCTTGCCCCAAAAACGAAAAGTGAACTTGGTCTATTGTACTAAAATGGAGAGAGCTTTATGAAGAACTCACGAACGCAGATAAAAGGCTGACGGATGTTTCAAAGAAAGTCAGCAAAGCGTTGAGTTAATTCTCACATTAGAAGTTTGTAAAGTCTTTATATTTTTGGCGAAATACAGAATAATTTCATACAGCAAGATATTTTATGTTACATAAAATGTTCATTCTTCCTAAAAAATATAAGATACAATCTTTTGTAACTATAAAATGTTAACATTTACATATGTATATTCTTTGCTTGAGAAAGAATTCTTTTATATTTATTTTTAAACACAAGTATGTGTTTTATTGCTGCACTTTCTAAACTGGCACACACAGTGCAATAAGTTGAAATGAAACACATATACGTTTGTTTCACTTCAAACTTATTGTACCGGTTCCAAGTGCAGCAATAAAAAACAGACCTATTGTTTCGTTTTAAAGAATATCTTTTTCAAAATAAACGTCATTTTTCGTAAACATTGCAATTACTTTCATTAGGGCGAAAAGTAATCCGACACTTCACAAAACGTTGACATTTAATGACGTGAATTAAGACATGGAGATAATCCGCAAATCGTGTAGCTTTTTTAATATTCTGTTCAATGTTTTTACATCGCATTGCTTACCTAAAAACCTTGTACCTCACAGTTCGATCACAAGCGAACTTTTTGTCAAAAGGTACTTCTTTACGAAAGGGAAAAGCATATACTCGGTGAGAAATGATAATGAAATCGATGTCGAATCGATTAGACGTCGATTTAATTATTTCAATTCAATGTAATTTCTTCCTGTGTATACATTATCTCATTCAAACTTATACTTGTGTGTTTCACTCTATAATCTTAATTGAAATTATTCATAGTCCAATATTTATAGATCAATACGATATTTATAGACAGTTCTTATTTTAAGATCTTAAGTAATGTATCTTAAGATGCTAATATTGCTCTGTGATTGGCTTATGATATTTTAATACAATCTTAAATATAAGATCCGACTATAAATATTGGCTATAAAGTGAAACAGTTAGCGTTTAAAATGAGAGTATATTACAGGGAGAAATTATGTGTATCTTTCTCTCTCATAGAATTTTGACAAAATTGCTCATGGCCTTGTTATAGAGACACTATTTATATTACAGTGATGATTAGATGTGATAAAATGTAAAAGGGTGCGCCAGGAATTTTTTTCATAAGTTGCCTTTAGCATGAGTGAAGAGAATATAGCAAAACCTTCGTGCGCGATAACGTCGCGATAATCATGGCTAATCCGGCCGGAGGTTTGAAAATGTGAGCACGAATGTAGCGCATCAACCCCGGTAACCCGATTAATCAGCGACGACACCCGATAAGCGCGTGCACCGCCGACGATGACCGAGTTCCACCGTGGCCCTCTTCGTTCAGCCTTCTCCCTCGGGACGCGGGTATATACACAAGCATACAAGCTCTGCAAAACGCCGCTCTCCGCCTGGGTTGTCGCTCTCGGCCGTTCGTCTCTCGTAGCCGAAGTAGTGCAACCCAGTTTCGCGTCGGGCCGCTCGCGCCGCCGAGCATCAAACAGCGAGAATGCGCCTCGACGCCCGTTACAAATGGATGAAATGCACTCGGCTGGAATTGCCGCCGTGTGATAACAGGAAAATACATAGTGCCGTGACAAAATGACCTACCAAACCACTCGATGACAGAATGACTATTTTTAATACAAATCGACTCGTAAAAATCAGCGAAGACGCGACTTAATAAATTATTTCTAGCTTCATAGAATAATATTATAATTTTTATTATATAACTACGGCAATTTCTCCAGCTCTTTAACTTTATTTCTGCACAAAAAATCAATCTTGAGAGCTGTTAACATTATGAAGACCTTTATTAAGACCTTTATTAAGATCTACCATCTTCACACGACAAAAAAAAAACAAACATACACTAAAAGTACACTGTAAATCCTTAATTAAATTATTCTTAATTAAATCTTCTAAAAGGATTTAATTTTATTGTACTTACTTTTTTATTTTATGTACTTTTAAAAGTGAAAGTATTATTAGATTAACGTGAGACACTCTGTATTTTTCCTGACAAACGTCTGTTAAAATCAAGACTAGATTAGCATCTAAGTAATATCTAATTCCGGAAAAAAACAAATATATCACATAAATTGTTATCTTAACAAATGCACAATTACAAACATTCAAATCCAATTCAAATATATCTTTAAAGAACTAATTTTAGAATTCTTTTCCTTGTCTAATACTTTATGTAAAAAAATTAATCAAATCGATGTAATTATGTTATAACTCAAAAGCTAAGATTAATTTGTACTGTTAACATATTTATATGGTAGATCAATAATTTTAATAAATTGACGTTCTGAATATTAATATTGCTACAGAATGATTTAAGACGCTTTAATGTAACCTTAAAAAGTTATTTTGAAAAGAAATTATCTCAAGGTACATTTGTAGAGCATAGGTTGCCCGAGATAAACCAAGCGTAGTCGGAAAGCCTTAAGAAAACAAGTTGGGATATAAAAATAAGTGTGAAAAGACGCCTTCCAAGCAACGCTCCGGAAGTTTTCGACACTTCTCGTTGCTTCTTTTTGAAAAAAGTCGACATCTATATATAAATACATGTCGCATTATATAATACTGTGCTATTCAACATCGTATCTTCATAGTTCTCTAAGCTGCTTAATGTTAAAAGTTTTGAACTTTATAATTGGCTTCTAAAGTTTCAGAGTTTAGATGTTATTTAAACATCTAAATAAATAATTTTAATAATTTGTAAATTTACGATAGATGTCATTTTTACGTCCAATATTTATTTAGAATGTATCACAGATAATTTGTATTTTTAGATCAAAATACCTGCTTTTATTTACTTTAAATTTTCGTGTTTATCAGCTGTACTAATTATCGTTATTTGTTCATAATTTAAACGCACTAAGATAATATATGTACATATATCCGTAATTAGATTTTGGAATTGAATACAGAATATTTATAATTACAATTTTGTCATTTATAACTAATTTTTCCTGTCCCTATGACAATGCTATAATAGCAATGCTATAATAAATAATGAAGTAATATTATAACAAAGTAATTTTTTAAATAGTAATTCGTAACTATATCTACAGTTCTATATTTAAAATTGTAAGTCATTTGCATTACCATTTAGATGAAATTAAATAGCCTAAAGTAATAAGATCAAATAAATTAAGTCATCTCATTCATGATTAATTGCATCTGTTAAATATCTTGGATAAAAATATCAATTTTTATCTCAAAAGTAATTCACAGCCAACTTCCACTGCTAAAATCAGCTTTTTTTTTTCAATTAATTTAAGCTTCCCGCTGTTACACGGCATCGTCAACACCGGTGGTGTTGCAAAGGGATGTCGATTCCTCGTTCCATTTCGTTAGTGGGTCACGTCCATCGATCAGTATCGTCTGTGAGGGAATTGAACACGTGTCATCGTGTTTCGATAGAAACTCATACGATGATTTTTCATCCCGCTTTCGTTACACAAATGGTGCTACGGTGAGCGTTAAACTCGCGACGAAATACATGGACGATTGATTAACGTCAATTTCCGTTTATCCCGGTATAGAGTCGGAGGAGGGACTATTTGTGATCTCCCTTTACGAAGAAATGTTTGCAATAAATGGATATTCCGAGATCCGAGTCTGGAGATCGGAAACGAATCGACCTATTTGTGATGTTAACCTTCTCGATTACCGCAAGTGCTGATTGGTTATTAAACCATCACCGTGATATTCGGAACATCCAATCGATTGATTCAAATCGAATTATGGTTATTCGATGTATTAAACAATCTCATAAAAAAATTGTCAAAATTTTCCCTGGCGTTTATTACTATTTTATATACAGCGCGAAGAATAAAATATCGCATATAATTTTCAATTTTGATAAAAAAAAAGGAAAAGATGTATTTGTATGGAATGGTTATTATCTAGTAAATAAATAATACTTCGCATAATCGTATTCCAATAGTAAAATAATTGATTTAAGAACCGATAAAAGTTTCACACAAGTCTTTTGTACTTCCCAGCCATTAATACCAGCAAATATTTGAACGACTTGATTGTGGGTTTACTGTGAAAGTAACAATCATTTACCTCCACAATCCGAGTATATTTGCTTACTTATCGATCAACAAAACGATATTATACATCGCTACTCTATAAATTCTTTGGAAAGCTCCTTCTAAAGAGTGAAAATTAAGTCAGTCTTAACAAAAAGTGGCTCAATTTTCAATTCTTTAAAAGTGTGAGATTTCACTCTTCACAGAATTAGATTTACTCTTCAGAGAGACATGTGTCAGTGAATGTAAAAGTGCGGTGTCAAAATCGAATTATTCTTAGCTTGGAAGTGTACAAAAAGTAAGCGCAGCAGATTAATAAGTAAATTTAAAAATTGGATTAGTTAATTAAGGCTGCTATTTCTTCGTTTCTCTTTTTATGTAAAAAGAATAACTTTTTCTCTCGGACGTTTTTATAAACATTTAACAACAAGACTATATCAAAATAATCTAATACATGTTTAACATTTTAAAACACTATATGTCATTCATTTGCTGCAACACAAGTCAAAAATTATTATTATTTTAGTTGCTTGCAAAATAGAACGAAAACATAAAGATAAAAAGATATAAAACATCCTTTTATTTCTTTATAATCAGTTATTACATCAAAATTATATTTTAAATATTACAAAATTTTAATAATTTAATATATTAAACTTATTTTTTGAAAAACTTTTGTTTTTTTATTTTAATTGTGTCGTTATTATAGCAAATAAATGATACATAACATCGTTATTTCATAATTTATTATATTTAATAATTAATTATATGTATAATGATTAATAATTACAACATATTTTTACATTAATTTTCTTTGTCGATAATTTTAAGAAAGGCTTTTCACGTAACTAGTCTGGAAAATGTATTGTCTCGAAATAGAGATCAGATTTATCACGAATTTGGATAACGCGAATGTAGCTGTAGTTGCCCGTATGTTGCTACTCGTTGGTAATTCAATCGCGATTCGCACGTGGATCATCGTGATCGGTCTGGCGAGGATCCAGCAAGAGTATCCGGTAGAAATGTGCGGAATTGGCGGCTCCCGAGGCGACCGCGCCGAGTCCCGAATCCGATCCGCATGCTTCGGCGCGATCAATAACGCGGGGCGTGCACCACCACTGCGTGCCACCCTCTTCCTTCTAGTCCCGGCAGGAGTCCTCGGTCGGCGGTACCCCAGCTGACCTTCGCAAATCACGCATGATACCGTAGCACGCAAATTTTGCACAAGTGTGTGCACGAGGTTAACGTACCGCAGTCACGTGAATTTACTTCAACAATCAGTTTTTTTTTTGTTTCGTACAAATTGGTTCGCGCACGGATTGCGCCATACGCAATAATAGTTTCCAAATTATTGTGTTTCCAAAAAGTAATTTGGACACTAAAAAAAATTGCTAAAAATGTGGTAATAAACACACCGTCGACGTCTTCCAAATTTTATTGCAACTTGTTAGTTTGAGGGAGGCTCGAAAACTTTTCTGAACGCGAGAATATACGGTACCCCCTCTTATTAAAAAATCCCCTGCTCAAAGGTTGCGTACATTGTAGAGGGACGAGCAGGAAATGCAATAAAATGTATAAGCCTTTAGAGAGCCAGCTCGTTCCCAAACACGAGACAAAGTAAATTTTATCGCTGCACTCTAACTCCGGCAATTCTCACCGTCCAATTCAATTTACGGTCGCATGCACCGCCGCTCGACGCTTTCCGTGTCGTATAAACGCGCGGCTGCACAGAATAATATTTGAAGAATTCTTGCAAAAATTTGAAGAGGCCTCTATCATTTGTTAGCTTAATATAAAACCTTTCATGTGGCGGAATCTATAGGGATTTCTTCTCGTTTCGTTGAAAAGAAGTATCAAAACTATTTGCAAAAAACTAGTCTTCGCCTAAGTACACAGTATAGTAATAACAAGTCAACAATAATATAATGTGAACATTAATATAGTAATATGAAATGATAATATCAAACTTTTTTTTTTCTAATTTTTAACAGTTTTGCTGTTTTCTTATTAAAAATAGTTGGAGCATTATGTTTCAACTTTACAGAAATGTATAAAGTTTTTTGACTGTTAAGTTTAATACAACAAAATCCATGAGCATAAAAAGAATCAATACGTTTTAAATATCAAAGTAAAACTTTTAAAAATTTATCTAAAGTTAAAAAAAAATTTAAAAGTTAAATGAAATTTATACACCACTTTGACAAACTAAAAACAAAGCTGCCGAAAGAATAGTTTTGATAAAAATGAACTGAAAATTCCGATGAAATTTCCCGAGAAATTTCACATTTACCAAAGTTTTTTCAAATAGTAAGCTCTGAATTTTTTAAATTTTCAATTTACCGTTAAATTTTTATTGTCTCTGCAACAATAAATTCTTTTCCTCTCTCCATTCTGAATCTGCTCGGAATTGCTATTCGGTACCCAGAAATAATTCGTCCCGAAGACATATTCGAGACATGTAACTATTGACGATGAGTCTGCGACATGCAAGGGAGCAAAGCCGTCGCGCACCACGTGCACCCGAAAATAGCTGCACCGGTGACGGGAAAAGGAAACTGCACTACTCTATATTATCGGGTATATGCACTTAGCGTTTCACCCGATAAATGGTGAACGAACAGAAATTTATCTCGTTCACCCTCGATCGCAAATGTCAGCAAGAGCTCGTCGATAAAGGTCTCGCAACACATTTCTGCACAAATGAATCAAATCTGTGTATATGAACATCCCAATTAATGTAATTGTTAATTACATTATCGTCTTATCAAGAACTAAGTCGAGTGTGCTATCGCTCGAGTTTCGTTCCATCAGCGTGACCTAGAAAAACCGTTGAAGAAGAATTACGTTCGTCGTTTCGCGAGTTATCTCGAGGCATTATAAGCACGTTGCGGCTTCCGTTTCCTGTTTTCAAACCGAGGGTCAATACGATAAAAGCGTCCTGCCGCGCATTTTGCGGATTTGTGAAACCATTCTCAGAAAAACTCGTCCGCCACAAACATGATAATTTTGCACGAGTATGCAAATTGCACGTATACATGCGACGAGGAAATTCATCGTCGATTAGAGTTCGATGGGAAAGAAACTCATAAACTCAGCTAACAATATATGTATACTTCCTTCTTATGTATTATTTCTTACAAGCCTGTCAATTTAAAATCAATTTTTCCATGAAAATATCAAATTTTCATTGAGAATATCGAAGTTGTAATTTTTGAGCTACGAATAATTGAAAAACGAATGTTTCTATAAAAATTTGGCGACCTAAGTCTCAAATTATTATGTTCTTCAATTAATTTTAGATGGAATCCATTTTGATATGATTTTAAGAGAATTTTTCAAAAGAAAAAACTTTAGAAAATTTAATTAGAAATTTAATTAGAAAATATATGCTATAATAAATGATGACATTTGAAAAATCTTTGTAGTAATCCTTGAAATGGAAATTTTATTTTTGCAAATATACAATTGGTTCTATTATCTTTCCTTTTCAAGAATTTTGTTCGAGTTCATACATTGTGAAAAATTATGACAAGTCACGTTTTATCCTTTCAAATTCTCCACTAAATTTAACGCCACATATTGTGTCTACTTTTTTCTCTGTTTAATATTTGCAAATGTAGTTGAATGACCTAAATGTAATTAGTATCTTTATCACAAAGTACCGACAAGGTAATGAAGTGAAAATTTCATTGAATGTTGCGTAATTTCTAACTGTTTGCTAACGTCATATTATCATGCATTTGAGATTGCTAAACGGACAGTTACTTCTCATTTTCGCAATGCGCGTTGTAGCAAGAGCAGCTGCGTGTAAGAAATGCGTTCAACGAGATGTCGAAAGATCCGAGACAGCATTTTTATAGCAAATTTGATTGGACACTACTTTGATTGGCGCACTGGTGCATATTAAAGTCATTGAATACTAATTTAATCTCAGTGTAAAAATGAAATGTTAATAATTAAATATATAAAATATATAATTACTTAGTTCATAATATGTAAGAATAATAAGCAAAAATAGAAAGCCAATGAACGAGGAATAATTTTTTAAATCAAGATAAGTAAGATTTAAAATTTATTATTTAATATAATTACAATAAAATTGTATAAGTTTCGAACTCACAATCTTTAGAAATCACAGCTTTTTAAAATACTAACATCTTGAATGATAAAACGCTCTATATATACAAAACGAACACAATAAAATTTTAACAATAATTATTATAGACACAATAAAATGTATTGAGAATTTTGTGGTTTAATAAATATTTATATTGAATAAGCATTTTTACGTTTGTGTATTACGGTTTAATGTGCATCAGTGCATTTATATCTCCCATCGAATTTGCTATTAATCTTTCATCTCCACCCAGAAAATCGACGTGTGTAGCATTTCGCGGCTCTTTTTTCACCTTGCATCACAGAGCGGCGACATCACGCATTATGTCTGATATTTATTATTCCTTGCTGGTGTTTCCGGTTTTTGTCAGCCGCAGGAAGCACGGCGTATTCTGTACGCACAAACGATCTATCGAGCCCACTCTATCGATCACTTCGTGTCGATAATGCTCATTCATTGTATCGGATTTGTATACCTTACTTGAATGGAAATGTTCCTTCTCCGTTCCATATCAAAGTACATCTCAAGTAAATAATCTCTAAAAATGCAAGAAGTATCGTATCTACGTCACATCGATATCTAAGTTCTATCTTTAATTTTTCTTCCGAAGAATTTTGCGTAATATTTTATATTCTAATTTTTGTATTTATGTAATATTTAACTTACTAAATTCTAACGATATCTGAATAGATAATCTTAATTAAATAAGTAATTATAATTATTTTATTATGACTTATATAATTAAATAAGTCTTAACTAAATAAGCAATTATGATTATGACTTGTATAATAGATATAAATATATTTTAATTCTAATAAAATTTATTTTATATTGCTTTCAACACGACACGATATTCAAAATAATATACTCAAAGAGAGAATAATAGAATTAAAACATCAAGAGATCAATAGATGCTTTCTATCTGGTAATACAAATATTGTTCTAACTTAGTCACTAAAAGTCAACAAAGATAATGCTTGTATCAATTGTGTCATCAAATAGAAAGCAATGATAAAAATGTTAAAAAAATGCAATATAATCAAATTTTTCCCTTTTCTTTCTCCTTTTCTTTACGCTCTTTAATTTAACCCTCCGTCTGTGATCTAAATTCTTTGTCCAAGTCTTTTTTACTGTTACTAAGCTTTCAAAAAAAATTCAGAGTTTCTTTCTCTAGTTACCGAATAGTTGTTTAATTTAAATGTTAAAACTTTTACTTAAAAATTAAAATTTGAATTAAAAATAGAATGAAATTTGTGAATAAAATTTCCCTTCTGCCAAAAACGATCTAGATTACAAATGGAGAGTTAATATGATTTCGCTAAAATAAAATAATTACTCACATTCGTATAGAAGTCCACCTCTTTGTAAGGATTCACAGCCACCAGTATAGATCCCGTGTACGTCTGTGTAATATCCGTGTTAAGGAATATGCAGCATGAATAGCACTCAATAAACACAAATATTCATAGTCTATGTTGGATATTAATAACATTGTTATCTCTGTTAACGTAGAAAAAGTTCTGACATTTCTCTGCCGTTGACATTTTTCCGCGTTCATGATATCCCTTGAAATATCTATAAGTGCAATACAAGTACATATAAGTGGGCGATAAATGGAGAGACAGAAGCACGAATCGGTCTAAAAACGTGTGACCTTTTTAACGTTCCCTCGTGTCGCGATCGCGCTCGCGTTCCGAACAAACTATATTTTATGAAGCGCGAAACGGAAAGTTGCGCCAATCCGTTTTTATTGCTCGTCCTATAAAAGAGAAAACTCTCGAAGGCGAATGAAACGTTTAACGCCGTGTCTATATACAGAATTATCTAGACATGCATACACTCTTTTTTTCTCTCTTTAATATCCCATGAATAATTTCGGAATAATATTCTTTTATCGGAATAATATTCTTTTATTTCATCGCTAATCTTAAACAAGCTTAAAATCAGTTTGAAATTTTATTGCAAATTTGCTTGAAATTCGATTTAATCCAATTTTAGTGAATTAAGATAAAAATAAAATTCGATTTTACTTTTACTTTTGATCCCTTATTTGTTAATTATTAATTCAAGTCAAGTTAATTAAGTCAAGTCACAAATTTAAAATTCAACGATTTGCCTTAGAGTCACTCTGATATAAAAATGCGATAAAACATTAATCTTAAACAGAAAAATAATACGGGCTGTATGTATAAGACGGGCTTGGAATTGCGTCGCGCAATTTTAGACTCGCGGGAATCGTCAAAGAAATCTCTAGAGACAGAGAAAGGACGCACAGCTCTGCCGTAAGCCCTATCCCTTGCATAATAACCCGAGGATGACATGCCTTCGCCGGGGGAGAGAGCTCGGTAATGACGTCACACTCGGGGGCGACCTATAGGGTACGGTATGACTCATGGCTGGAACCACACCGTTAGCGAAAAGAGGGATACACCTTCATATAACTGTGCTACCCTTCGGCAACATTTGAGACGAGTTAGGGTGCTGATCTATGCCCGAAAGTTCGAAACTCATTTTAACCAATGGTAGGGTAACTGAATCCCCTGTCCTGCTGATTAACATTTAAAAAATGTTCAATATTTAGGAGTATAAACCAAACTAATAATAAATTTATATTTTCGAAAATATCTGAAGAATATTTTGTTCACATATTATTCTTCATATTATACTTTAGATTAACTTTAAAAAAACAATGAAGAACAAGAAGAAATGAAGATATAGGGCTGTATTTATAATCCGTTCTTATTTTAAGACCGGTAATTAGCATCTTAAGTAATATTTTAAGATGCTAATACGGTTCTCTGGTTTATAGCATCTTAAGACTATACTTAAGTCGGTCTTAAATATAAGACTGTGAATACCGCCCATAGAAAGGAAATTAGCTAGAAATAAATTGACGTTAACATGCTATTTGAAAAAATTATACTGAATATTATAATAATTAAATGTTATGTATTATCACAGAGATCAGTTATCTGTGCAATTCCTCCTTTCCTACCTTTCTTTTCTCTTTTTTATACGTCAATATTCTTATATGAAATTCACTTACTTCTTTTATACTTTGTGTTTATACTTTATTTATGGCGCTTTATTATTTTATTTATACTTGTATCTTATTCTTTGTTTCGAAACAAGCCTGAATGCGTACATTGCCAACACACGTTGGCGTATAGAAGCTGTCAACCCTCGTAGTGATTACAGTTTCCCAGTTAGAACCTTTGGTCCAAACTCTATCGAAACCCCATTATTACTGAAAAGGATCTAACAATTTAATTAACCCCTTGGGTAATCGCGTCTCGCGTCGCCTATCGATAACTTCTTGATTTACGTTCTCGTTATAATAAAATCAAGTTTAATTACAAATGACATCCAAGTATTGAAAAGTTTATCCATATAGGTATAGTAGACAAAGAACGGAAGATAGCTCTATTTATTCGCAACAATTTCTAGGATAAAACGGGTAATTTGGATAGAATAACTGAAATTTTCAAATTGCATAAAAGATTGAGGTCGCATAATATATAATTCAATCCTCAATTCAATCAGTTCACAAAACATACACTATTGATGTAATAGCATATGTTTTGTTTAATTGAATATACTATACGATTTCAAACTTTTATACAATTTGAAAATTTCTATTAACTTATCCAAATTATCCCACTTTACCTTATAGAGAGTTTTAATCGATTGAAAAGTATTCAAGTATTTCAGTATTTTTTCTCGCAAAATTATATTATTGCTGTCACATTCCGAAACATAGAGATTACATAAAATAGAGAAACATAAGATTGTTATTGTATAATTAACTGCTATCATACTTTAATTCATTATCTGCGAATCACGAAATTAGTTTTCCGAAGTATTTCGTATTCTCAGAGAATTCTGGTTATTAATATACCGACACATGCAAATAATTATCAAAATCAAGAACCTGGAATATTCCGTAAATCACGAATAAAAGATCCAGAATATTCTGTGATCTATAAATAACGTGTTTCTAACGAGATCTGTAAGCTGACATATCGCTGAACACACAGAAAGGGAGAAACCGAAATAATACTCTGTATATGTACAAAGAAAATCAATTTTTAATTTTCGATTTCTTCGACTTTTGTGTACAAAAATATATAGTATAAATATAAATCGGAAATATTATAGATCGAAAACAAAAAATTAATTTTCTTTGTTTTATAGAGCATTATTTCAGATCCTTTTTTTCTCTTCGGCGATATTTATCAGCTTGCAGGTTTATAGACAAGAAATATTTCGGTTATATTATTAAATGAATACACTAAAAAAATACTAAATTTTAATAAATAGTTGTTCAAATAGCTTTAAATAAATATTTACTAAAAAAAATATATATAAATATATATTCATTTAATACAAAAATTATTAATTTAATTTAACTATAATTTTTTTAGTAAAGATTTACTTATTTTAAATAAATGTTTACTTAGTACTATTAAAAAAAATATGTATTAAGATTTAGTAAATTTTTTTCAATATATAAATATGTATGTCATATTTGTTACTTAAACTCTAAATAAAATCATATTAAAGTGAAATCGTTGCGAATAATTTCAATATCTCTTTTTCACTAAAAAAAAATAATTTTTTAATACCTATCTTAAAAAATTTCAGATCTTTTATATTTAAATTATTGTAACACAATTATTAATTATAGAAAAATAACAAACTTTTCATCGTTCGAATAACTTTAAAGATTAAGATTATACCTAAGTAATTACTTTCATATCTAAACTTATATTATTTTTACGAAAATATTTGATTAAATATAAAACAAAAAAGAGGCTAATATAATAAACTTGAATAACAAATTCCTTCAATCAAATCATTCGAAAAAGACGTACTCGTCAGTTTCTCTCTTCTTTCTGAATGGTCCTTTCAACCTAAGGGCAAAACGAACGATTAAGCGATTTAAGCCAATAATAGCAGCGCAGCGGCGGTGTGACGTCTGGCTAGAGGGTGAGGTGTCGGTTACATTTTAATTTAGCCAAGCGTGCAAGATCAGAGAGTGCAGCTTCATCGATGAACCGGATGTTATCCGTTCCTTTGCACGTATTTTTCCACGTGTGCTCGATGCGCGCGCGTTCGCGCAAACACAGACACCTGCATGTATGAAGGGGGTAGTTTCCTCTCATTAACCTCTTTTACTAGTGAAACGCCCTTAGCCGACTTGAATTGCACTCGTCGCGGGGGTAGGAACGGGACTCATGTACCTCTATTACCCGGAGTACAGGAGAGAGTGAAGAAAAAAAGGAAAAAACAAGAGACACACGGAGATGAGAACAAGAGGGTGAATGTCTGGGAGGATCGCGAGAGGGTTCACCGATGCGAAAAAATTAGGCCACTCGCTCTGGAAAGGGTTAAGCTGCCTGGAAGCTGAGCGGTAAGAAAAGCGTAATTATCACGCACGATGGATGACTGGGTGATTTCGGTCGTCGGTTTCTTAACTGTATTATTTATCCGACCGACCTACTTTTGTAACAAGAAAGCGGAGTCTGCCGCTACTGTTATGACATTTTAAAATATGACTGACTTAATTGCTCCTTCTGTAAAAGTTTAATTAATATTATATCCACAACAGTGACCAATATTGGATTATACGTACCCTGTTTACCCGAATAAAGATTAATCTTTTCACGAGTCTATCTTCTTTTAGAAATTCGGTCTAAACGCGATTTATATGTATTTGTGTTTTTATTAACTTACTAATATTTGTCTTCATAAAATATCTAAATTATCAGCACTTTTATTAATTTTTATAGAATTGTAAAATTTGTTAAAAGTAAAATAATTTTTTAATAATATTTAATACTTTTTTACATGGATTTAATTTACATTTGAGCGATGAACACGCAATAGATTGTTATACAATTGTAATACAATTTTTATCCCCTCTCACGTAATTTTTATATTTAACGTACTCGAGAAATGTGCTTGATGCTTACAGCAAGAGCTGTCTTTACCAGCTGCGAATCTCGTTTGCGCCCACGACAGTGATAAGAAGTGCTCAGTGACGGAGATTCGAAAAGATCGAGGGACCCGAACGACCGCTTTACAAGCCGTTTAATTTTTCGATTACATCAGACGACAAAAAGTGAACACCGACATATGTATGTATGTACATACAAGATGAGGCAGAGCTTAGCTCTTCTGGGAAACAAGTTCAGTTTCTTATGCAGCCCCTTCGATGAGATACTTTCTAATTAAGAATTTCGTTGCACGAAGTTAGAAAAACTTCATACGTTTTGATGATTTAATTATTAAATAGGAACGATTATATTAGCGAAATTCAGTAAACTAATAATCCCAATTTAAAAAATTTTAAAAAAATTTTTTAGAGTGTTTCTAAATGAAATAATTAAATTAATAAAAAAATATATTATTTGATTAAAAATTATGTATTACGCTGTCACAGAAAATTATATACAGTTATCATTTTCATCCGGTCTTGTATCGTTTCCATCTAAATGCAACGGAAGATTAAGTTAAGTACATCGTCGCACGCGCTCTTCACGTACGAGGAAATGTCCACTAACGAGCGGATTACCGACGACCTAAATCGCGTGTTTAAATTCTAGCAGCTAATTGGTCAATTAGAGCGAATATTTGTAGATTTTGGATTATAATACATCGAGTGTCATAAGATTTTGCAATTATCGGGACTATAATAATCTTCATACATCTCATAATCTTCATTATTACTAAATGCAACGTCTTTAAATATGCGTCTCATTCAATTAAATCGAATAATCCAACAGATTGAATGAGATAATTTTAACTTTTAATGATTATGTGTATTTATTATTATATTAGACGCACAAAGCAAAACGTAATATTCAATATTAATAATTCTATATGATAATATTACGCTTCGTGTTAATGCCACTAAACAGTACCTACGTGTTTACTTCAGAATTAATTCGAACGTTGGTTCTTAAATATAATATTGCGATTAGAATTACATGACATCATCCTGACATTCCGATATTAGACGATCAGACGACCTCTATTTGAAATATTAGTCACCGATTATTTCATCGAGCTAAACATGCCTTGAATTATTGGTGATCCATGGATTTTTTCGTATCGTTATTCATAATCGGTAAAGGAGGAAGGGAAGGGTTGTCAGTGGGTCGCTGCGACATTGTTAGGTCGTTGGCAAACCCAAACCGATGAGAGATGAATGGATCTGACCCTGGGGTGATTCGCCAGCTGACTGAGATCGTCATAGCAACGCGACAACCTAGGACTCTATCTACCCCTGCGATGTGAATATGAACGCGTCCCTCTCGTGCCACCTCCCTCGGCCAATTTATTTTTTTTTCTCCCTCTACCATGCGCCGATCTCTTTCTCGGATGAAATCGGTTAATCTCTCGTCGCCACCTACCTAATTCTTCATTCATTTGCCTAATTTGAATGAAGCCCCAAGTAAACGAAATCATACATAAACATAAAATAAATAATAAGTACAAAAGCGTGTACACTCAAAAAATAAAAATAATTTTTCAGTTTTAACTGTAGTAATTTTGAAATGAACAAAATTGTTATATTTTTCCAATTTTATCAAAATTGTTTTTAAATATTTTTGTTCATATATTATACTGTATGAGTTACTATTCTCTAAGTTTTAGATTATCAAATTTGTCAAAGATAATTATATCATGATTATTACAAGACTAATTTTACTTGTCTAATATAATCTATTTCAGAAATCAATTTGTATTGTACCTCGAGTTGTCGTAACTTTAATATTTCAAGCATCAAAGAGACATAACAATAATTTTGCACCGAATAGCATGGTGCGAATATATGCAGTGTATAGCTATATCGTAAAAAATAAAGGATACGTATATTTGGTCCCTACTGTACCGAACTTGAAGATTCCGATTGATACCGATCTCGTCGATATTGCTGATAACTGTCATGTCTGGCACGCCGCACTCAGGGCTTGAGCCTGAAAAGAAAAAGACACTATAAGAAATAATTGTAAGAGAAAATTGTAGGATTTGAAATAAGATTTAAAACATTCTCATTTAAAACCCTTATTTAATACTCCTGAGTTAACGTCAGAATCTGTAACACGGTTACTGACGCTATTTGTAAAATCAGATTTAATTATGTTAATTAAAAGGCACTAATTAATTTCAAGATGACTCGTATAAAAAAGAATGAATGCTAAGTATATCTTAGAATAATCCGCAGATGTAGCATAAAGAAAATTGAATTGTTTGACATTTTTAACAAAGAGATTTATAACTGAATGAATTCAATAGTTTCATTGTCAGCTCAAGAAAGAGCAATGATTAATCGTATTCGCATATTATACTTTTCAAAGTTTTTCCAGATAAACACTCAGAGATTCTTTAACATTAATTATGAATAAACTTTAAACAGTTAATTAAACATTTAAATTTGATAATAAGCAGAAAAGTATAATTTAAAAAAGTAATGAAATTAAAACTATTAGTAATTATTCAAAGATATCTTTGTTAATTGCTCGGCACTTCTGGCTAATATCAAATTTCAATTCGATTACATTCCTGGGGTGAATTCACACATCAAAGGGAATCATGCTTGACCACCTGTTGTACAACAAGTGAAAATTATGCTACTTCAAAGGTGAACAACTTTTTATTAATTCTTTAAAGTCTTACAGGTGTGTTATTTATTAAAATATTCCTACAATTTTCTTATTATTTTTATATCAATATTATCGACAGAAACCAATTTTAAGACACAAAAGCGATTTAAATTCCTTTTAATTTTAAAATTATATCTTTAAAATTTAACTCTACGAGTAAATCTCATGCTTTTATTGAATATCCATGAAATTAGGTGTGAATTACAACGCCAATTTGTGGCAACGATTTGACACAGTTGATCGTTATCCTGTCAGATTTTGCTGTTTCGTGTTTCGAAATCTATTTGCGACACAGTGCAACACGAAACACACACACACACACACACACACACACACACACACACACACACACAACACACACAACACACAATCATTTGGCGCGCTTCGTCTCGACGGTAGTCTACGCGCCGACGGCGAAGAATCAAGTTTCGCGATTCGCAGGTGCAACCCGCCTGCATCTGCAACTATGCACCATTTAATCGCACCTGCGCTATCCAGCTGCCGCATCGTAATTTCAAGGTCGCGATTAACGGGAATTTGCACAACTGATCGGTTAATTTTGCGATCGGCGACTCGGACCCAAAATGAAAATCAATTGTGCAGCTGCTTTCTTAAACTTTCCTCAAGGCTACGAATTAAGCTCATTTAGAAAAAGAAATTAATAATAAGTAATAAAACGATAATATGAATTATGGCTAATTAATGTGGCATAGTTTGATAATGATATCAAGCTAATCAGCGTGATTCAGTAGTGATTCAGAAATTTATTAGCGAATTTAACATATGTCGTTTTAATAGTATATATTAATTATTGATTTAATACGATTATAATATATAATCGTATTAAATTTGTAATGAAATGATATTAATTGTATAAAATAAAAATTGGATTGTCGGAAAAGTCATAATGTATTTTTGTTACACTTTTTAATTCAAATTTATATATATCATTATATTATATACATTCAATTATACCATTCGATAGAGCGAAGTTTCGGCTTTAAAAATCTGTTTTAATAATTACGTCATGATGTTTTTTAACGGAGTTATGAGCAATTAAAATCAAAATACTCCTTTTATTTAATCGGCGATAACTCAGTAACAAAAAATCGTAGGAATATTTTTAAAAAACGATTTTGCAGGAAAAGCTGTAAGCTTTTACGATAGATAGTTCGAAATTGTTCTCAAATTTTTTTTTAGGCATGTTACAAAATGAGAAGAAAATTTTTCATTTTTTTCAGCTGGTATAGTCTTCTGTATATAAAAATTAAAAAAAAAACATAAACTCAAATCCACATAAACTCAAAAAATATAATAAGCTTTTAAAAGTAGAGACTTCAAATTTTAAAATGTTTTTTAAATTTTAAATTTCAATCATTTTTTACGACGACATATACAATTTTGAGCTAAAAAATGCATCATGACTTCTGACAACCCAATATATTTCGATAGTTATGTGCGTCAATAATATTCAGGTGACAACTCTTATTTAATAAAGATATTTTAGTTTTCGAAAAAGTTTTCGAAAAAGATTTATCCAAATTCGTGCGTTAATATTTCAATTTGCAAGAAATAAATTTTCTTTATAAAATAAAGTATAACTTTATCCAGTCTCTTTTTATTTTTCTGTGTGCTCATTTTTATTTAGCGATAAACGACGCGTCACTTTTTTTGCCAATGGCAAATCTCCATCCGTTTCCTGAATATCATCGAAAGACATCCGGTTAAAGATGCTTTTACATAAAAACCGCGCAATGTGTCCTATCTAATTTTAATTAAAATTCTATAACAATCTTAATAAATTTAAATCAAATTATGATATTCTTCGTCGTGCGAACAATTTTTTGAGAAATTATCAATTCCGGATATATAAAAATCTAATGTTGATTCTGGTGTTAAAATTAAAATATAAAACATAAACTCGATACATTTAAATTTTTTATCAGAAACAGTGATAAAAATTCCATTAAAAATTATCTACAATACTTTAGATAATATCGAATATATGCATCTACAATAAAATATGCACGAAAATATCGATGGATTAAAAATCCAATGTGTTATATCATTCTCTATTACATATCCAAAAAAGCCACACAAATAATTTTCACGTCTATTTTTTATTCACAACTATATATCCTATGTCATTAGATAACTATATTCTTTCTATTGTAAGATATAAATCTTTCTGTCGTTGTCGTTCATTCCAATTTCGAAACTGCCCCATGGAATTACACTCGATCAATTCCAGCGACATAAAGAAACATAAATCGCACGTTTGAGATTGGAGTAAGCCGAGGAAATGTTGTACAGAACAAAGAGCAGTCACGAACGACTGCAACCGGGGGAAAGAATTAAAATGCACAACTGGGCACGGGTGCCCACATGGCGCAATGTAGTTACCATCGTGTACGCGCGTATTTGTGTTCATTGCGTACGGTAGTATTATATATGTAGTATCCTTTTTATATAATATTATATTTGAAAGCATTGAAAGAAAAGTATTTGATATTTGTGTCTAGAATTGATAATAATTATTGTTAGAATTTCATTTTTATAGTTATTATATAACTATAAAAATATTATTAATTATTATTAATATATTAGTAATAATATGTTACAATATTAGTAACAATAATCATATATAGTCCTCTCAAATATAAAAAACTTTATTATAAATTATGATAATTTCAAATATTAATATAGTAGAATATCAAGATATAAATGGTTAATAATAAACATTTTTGTTCAATAAATACAATCGCAATGAATATAGAATGTATCTATGAATGTATCTAGTGAATGTATCTATTTTCTTAAATTCATTTAATATTTATGTAATAATAATTAAAAAATATGTTAAGGAAAAACTAAAAATTTTCAAATAATATATGTGACTATTATTAATAGCACAATTGACTATATTTGCATTGAATAAAATAATTGTAAATATATTGTTGTCTCAAAAAATGACTATAAATTATAATTAAATATTATGGTAATTGCAATCAGTATAATTCTTTCACACGGACATAGGGCCAAAGGACACGCGCCTTGGATCCGCATGACAGAAGGGAGGACATGCGTAAAGTTCTACGTGCCGTTTGTCGTATCCGAGGCGATAAAACGTTCAGTTTACACAGAGTATATCAGAATTCACTCGGGCGTATCAGCTTCCTTTGTTAAGAATTTCTCACTAAATCCGATATTGATATTTTCACAGCGGAAGTTCGGCACAAAGCAGCATTTAATTTTTTTATTGATATGTAAACGTTAATATAATGTGTAATCAAATTAAGTAAATTATAGACGATATTTAACGAAGTAATCTTATATCTACACTGTTAGCACGACTTAATTAAATTAATTAATCTAATTTTAGTTGAATCTCTTTTGATTATTAAACCTCAAATGAATATATATATTTTACTACGACTAACTGTAAGTCCTTTTAAAATTGAAGTAAGAAAAAAATCATTTTTTTAAAGCTTTTGATTTGCAAAATACATAAGAACATGAATTTGCTGATCAATTTGAATAATTCCGCCATTAAGTCACCGTAATGTTCTTTAGGCTCCTGTCAAGATTCCGGAAATTTACCAGATAATTTATACTTGAGTGAAAGCGTATAACACACCCTGTGCAATCAATCCCAACTGATGATGAAACTAGTTCCACGTAGTCGTTTTTATGATATACATGAAACACGCGATGATTCATTTTGAATACATACCGGAATACCGGGGAAACCTGCTCCTTAAAAATGTCACACCGATGACTCATTGGCCCGAAGAACGAGATCTCAAACGATTACGCTGGTATATCTTATCGGGGGAAAGTTTCTCGCGTCGCCGCGATCGCATCGAATCCAATTTCCTGAAATTCTGACGCTGCGAGGGAACCATGAAAAATAACATCGACGAGCGCAATCAGTGGGATTTCCCGCAAATGTCTCACTGCCGTTCACGAAAAATAAATCGTATTTCGTCACATAAATAAGATACGAATTAATTAAAATTTATCATTTATTATATTAGTTAATATATCTATCACCTCTCTGTGTATACATAGATATCTGTGTATACATAGATATCTGTGTATACATATTAGGTGTTGGAATTAATTCGTAGCGTTTTACAAGTGATGGGAAGTACTTTCATTAATGTATTTTTTAATGCTCATGTGAAATAAATAACATTCTTTCATTAAAAAACGCTACGAATTAATTCCAACACCTAATAGATATCTGTGTATACATAGATATCTGTGTATACATAAATATCTGTGTATATATAGATATCTATATATACATAGGTATCTGTTCTTTTCCTTCAGGAAGGAAGAAAAGCAGAAAGATGAACTGGTACAAAAGTTCAGCCAAAAAGAACAGGCCTCTTATGTCACAATGTTAACTTTAGTAAATGTATACACTTACTAGTCAATGTATATATTTATTTCAATGTCAATGTCAATGTGTATATTTATGTATAATAAATGTATATGTGTACATTAACAGTAGACTATACATTAAGTGTATACATTTACTGAGTTAACACTTTGATTGTAACATATATACGTATATGTTTATATCAAACGAAATAATTTAACTGCTCTGCTTACATTTCCTATCCAATTCTTTTATGAACGTATATACACGGTAAAAACGAAAGATCAAAATGTTTGCTGAATACAGATCTCAAAATAATGTTATTGGATCATCAAAATAATTGTACTGGAAACTAAAAAATGACGAGCAAAAAATTTTAATATTCTAACAATCAGTTTCCAATAAAATTATTTTCAGATTTACATTCAGCAAAATTTTAGATCTTTTAGCAAAATCCGAAGCAAAATCATTCTTTTCGTACAATTAAAAAATAAAAGTAAATAAAATCAAAACTGATGAAGAGAAATAAAACGAAAATGTTATACAAAATCTTTAATTCGCAAAAATAACGTAACTTGCCCATATAATAATATGTTTGATTAAAATGATATGATTAAACGAATTTGCTAGTCGATTTGGAATTACAGTTATGTGTTTTATCGAATTTTTCCAATTTATTTTCAATTTCACAAGAAAAAATGAGTTTACTAAAATATCTAAAAAATTAAGCTAAATATAGATTTGAAAATAATTTTGTTAAACTATCAAAATAATTATGTAATAAGCTCAAATTAGAATATCAATTTTTCGCAGCATTACTTTTATCATGTTTAAGTTTCCATCAAAATTATTTTCAGATTTGCATCTAGCTAAAGTTTTGAATATTTTAGCAAAATAATTTTTCCTACGATTAATCTACTCGAAAATAATATATAATAATAATTAATATAATAAATAATAATATAATTTCTCTCTGCTGTATTTAAAATGCTATATATTTCTCATACAAAACGTTGACAATAAAAGGACGAAAACACAGCCCCATGACTTATGTTACGTCGCACTGTCATATCGCACATTTCACGTGCGGCGCCTTTTCGAAGTGACTGGCCGCTTTGTACTCGCGACGAAAGACCGTCAGTATATATGTATATCATAAAATATATACTGTAAGCAACTTTATCAGCAGCGGTGATATCTTCGATTGGCGCGTTACGAATGTCGGTTGTGTGCATTCGAGTTAGCGCTCCGTCAAGGAACTTTTTCGCGATCTTGCATCGCCTATCAATCGAGCCTCGCGTAGATTCATGTTACGATATAAGAGTTGAGATATTTTTGTACATTTAATCTGATATAAATGTAAGTTTAAATACAGTTCTATCGTGATAATATCTTTCACGTCAACGATTAGAATTACACTGAAAGCAAAAATAGTTGCAATTATTATAATTTGATTGTAATTTATAGTAATTTTCGTGTCAATTATATACTTTTTAAGAATAATAAATTAATACCGCTACAATAATTATTACTAATATCGTAGCGATGATAAAAATGCTCTTGATCAGAATTGTTTTACTATACAATTATAATCAAACACTTTTCTTTCAGTATTACACAAATAGAATATTTTGCTTGGATTTCTAAAAATTCAGTTAGATACAGATTTAAAAATAATATTGTTAGACTAAAATAATTATGTAGAGCGCTTAAACATTGATGACAATGTTGCAAAAAGTTTTAATGTTCAGCCATAAATTAAAGCGTCCTATATAATTATTTTAATGGTTCAAAAGTATTTTCAGATCCAGTTAAATTTTTAGCGCAAAATCATTCTTTCTGTATAATATCGCTGCATTATATTGGGTCATCTAAAAAGTATCCGCGGTTTTTTGTCACTAGATGTGTGTTGATGGTCATATATCTAGTGACAAAGTACCGCGGATACTTTTTAGATGACCCAATATATACTAAAAGAAAACCGTTTGGTATTCTTCTTTTTTTCGATATACTCGTTCTTTCCATATAATTAATTCGATGATATGAGTCGATATTTTAAAATGCAGCAACGTATCGACGGAACTCTAAATGTTTGTTGAACGTTAAATCATTGCGAAAATTAGCACACGGTTTTTTCATAGCAAAAGTAAGTACCGGCGTAAACCACCACGACTCGGTGTGGAACACCACCACGCTGGTCGTTGCTCTCGTGAACCCGTGAACTACGGTGGGATTTTTTTCCCGCCGTCATGTTCCCTTGACTTCTTCGCTCGAGCGTGCACACGAGCGCGTACATACGTAAACCGCGAAGCACGCGAAGACGAGGAATTATGCGAGAGCGCGAATCGATTGAGCGTCGAACCGGCGAAAGTCGCCGCGAACTTGACATCACGGTCAGGTCTGCTGCTGCTCCGGATGAAGGTTCACATGTCGCCGCTGTCATGCTGTCTGCGATGTCATTTTCGTTGCTGACGCGCAAAACATCCTTTGATCGCGTACTGCACTCAGACATGCAGTAAAAGGGACTTAAATTTTTTAAGAGAAAAGACAACGCGTCAATTTAATCTCACAATCAGTTTAAACTCTTAATAAAAATGTACGTATAGGATGTCCCACGATCTGTTACGCCTCGTAACGATACTAATTCTCTTATGTTTTCGAATCAATGTTGTGTTCAGTGTAGTTCAGTGAAAGTTGAAAGAAATGACCCTTGACTGCAATTTTTCAATATCTAATTATTTATAAATATCTACTATGTTTTAAATCAAAATTTGACTACAATTCATTTAAAATTAACTAATACCTATTTATATATATTGTATTAAGATAGATTAACTTTAATCTCTTTTTCTCGGTTTAATTTATTTATCTTTTTCGAATTCCAAGAATCAGAGAGAAAGATAAATGTTTAATAATATTATTTATAAATATATATCAAACGCTTTAAATCAAACCTTGATTCATTAAAAATTGACTATTTAACTTTTTCAAGTTTTAAGACTAAAGAATAAATTAAAGCTGAGATTATAATTAATCCACATATTAATAAAAATGGACACAAAGAATATAATTTTAAAAACAATTCTTAAATTCGTTGAAATTCCAGTAGCTAATCATATTTTTTTTATAAATATATATCACTTTAAATCAAATTTTTACTACAGTTTGCTCAAAACTAATTAAAGCTAGTTTTTACCAAAATAGATTAATTTTATAGAAAAGATAAAGAATAAACTAAACCGAGATTAAAGATAATCTACATTGATAAAAAAAGGACATATTCCGCTTTTTATTTGTTCTTCTGAAACTTCATTCGCGAAGACTCTTTTTTAATCGCTTAATATCTCCGGAACCATGGATTTCCTGAATTCAGTAGTAGGCAAAAACATCAGAAAAACATTCGTCGTAGCTCGCAACGAGATGAACGGCCACGATGAGAAACGCCCGCCTGTTCGATCAGTATTCCGAAAACGAACGAGAGGGAGGAGACGGAACTGTGAAGTGGTTGCTGCGAGTGTTCTCGTGGTCGACAGGCGAATCGAATCAACGCTGCATCGTTATTAGCTCCTTTAGTCCTTACGCTTTAATGCTTTACCATAATAGTACACAATACCTTTAGAATATTACTTCCTATTATGCATTTGGAAAATTAATTATCACAATACCGACAACTTACTGACTATAATTTTGTCAACACATTATAAAATATTATCGAATCGAAAAAATTAATGGATTATAAAAGCTAAAGTTAATTTTTCATTGCGCAGAACGAGAAAGAATATTAATTATCGCAGCAACTATAATTTAATAATTGTAAATTACAATAATTATAATTTTTATTTATAATATTTCAAAGTCTTTGCAAGATATTTCCGGAAACATTATTTCAATAAGAAAAATGTTTATTAGAAGGAAATATTAATGACAATCTTCAGCATTAAAATTCTTTCATTTTAATTATTATAAAAAAAGATACATTAATGACAATGTTTAGCGTTACAATTCTCTTGTTTGAATGATAAAAAAAAATTTTTAACATGACAAGTTTAGCGTTAAAAAAGTTTCCTCGTAGAAGTTATTTCGCGCTTCAAAGAGCATATTATCGATGCGTTTGTTATCAAAAAAAACAACGTTATATATTATTTTCAAAAGAGAGAGGGATGAAAGAATAAGAGAACAAGAGTGTATAGAAAGTACATGCAACGTTGCGGGATATATTATGATCGAGCAGTGCACCACCCAGTAGCCACCCACCCGTTCTGCACCCACCCGCTCCCGGAGGTCGACGACGTGCGTCTACGAGGAGGCGTCGCGACGGCGACGAGGAATTACGCGCGTTATCGCGTTCGTACCGGACACATTCGGGGCGGGGGCGACAGACATGCACCGAGAACAAGTACGGAGGGTTGCGGGGAGGGAAGGACAGGAGAGAAAGAAGCAGTGATCGGGGCACAAAGGCGGGGGGGAGAGAGAAGGGGGAGGAGGAGGAAGGGGTGAAGAAGAGGAGAGAAACTCACCCTGTGATGCGAAGTGCTTCGTGACCATGATGATGCTCTTCTCGCTAGTCCGAAATTCAGAACATCATATCCTCTTCCACGGCGCGCGGCGACGAACCCTCGACGAGCACGATTGAAGGGACAAGCAGATGGGGAGGGGGTCCAGCGGCGTATCCCGGCGGGCGATGCGAATACGAGGTAATCACCGCGCTACCCCCGCGAGGCGGACGCGAACGGCACCGGAAAAAGGATATCGCGACGGGGATTGTTTCGTTCTGTCAGGGAATCACATGTTTTCGGGTTTCGTTTAAGTTCACCGCGTCTTCTCGGGGAGGATCCTCGGGAGTCCTCGGACTCTCAGGTCCAGGAAAAGGATGACGGGCGCGCGCGACAAACGACGAGGGTGGAGGAGAGAGATTATCACCTTTCGCGCCCCGCCACTGCCACCATCAACACGCAAGCACACCACCCGCGCACACGTTTATACCGCACAACGAGCGACACGCGTGCCCGACAGTTGCTATCCAACTGACGCGGCCCACGATTCTGCGATCCCTCGATTCCCTCGCCGACCGCGCACCCTTCCCCTCGCGCTTCCGCTCCAAGTCCTACGACCTACTCCTGCGCGCCCCGCTCTGACTCGAAGGCTTCGGCTGGCGCTTCTCTGACAGTTCGTGGAGTCGGCGTTTTGGAGCGTTCAGCGTTCTCCGAATTGCAGGCACTGCGCGGGTGAAAACTACCATCAGCACCATCTGTGTGAATCGGAGCTCAACAGCTGATCAACTCAATCGGTAAGAAGGAAAATTACTTAGACAGCACAGAATGGTAAATATTTATTATTATTCTTTTTTTAAAATGTTATGTAAATATTTTATATATTTTTTTATATAAAGCTTTACTTGAAATATTATTAAAAAAATAACTTAAATATTTGCTATAATATTTATGAAAAATATAAATAAATATTTCTGTTAAGTATTTTTTTTTATTTGAAATATATATCTTTTATTAAGTATTTCCATAGCATTAACAATAAATATTTTATAACTTATATTTTATAATTCATCATAAATGTTTATGATCTATGTAATCTAAACTTACAAAATATTTAAATAAACTTTATAAATATTGTGTGCTGTCTGGGTACATATAAAAAATATGCCTTGTATCATTTTTCACTTTTAATAAATTTTGAATGTATATGTGTTAGATTAAAAATAAGAAACACACTCTTTAAATTCTTAGGAATAAAATCCCTCTAAAAAACGAAAATTAAATCAGTCCTGAAAAAGAATGTGTGTTTTTAATTGTATATCATGAATAATATTAAAGAATATTTTAATACAAATTTAAATATTTAAATTCAAATATAAAAATGTTTAAGATATTAAAAAATATTAATTATTAATTTTACAAAATTTTCATCGTTTTTAAAGGCATTTTTTGTTCAAAAATTATATTTTTCAAAATATACTTGCTATATGTTTCTTTTTTTTTTTTTTTTTTTGTAAAAAGAAGAGTTCAGAGAAAAGTTCAAATGATGGCCTTTTTCCTAGAAATTTACCGTCGCAGAAGAACGACGTTAAATTTGTCTTACATTAGACACATACGAAGACCCACCGGAAGAACATCCGGTACGTTTAAAATATTCTGTACATGTATATTAAATACTGTTGATGAATATATCAGTTTTGTTTTAGAATAATATTACGCCATTCATATTAAAAGTATGATAGTTTATGAACAAAATAAATGAAAAAAATTAATTCTTGCACATAATATTTTTACCCAGACAGCATAGAATATTTATGATAAACATTTATTAATATTTATTTTTTTAAATGGTATATAGATGTATCATATATATTTTATATAAAGCTTTATTCGAAATATTATTAAAATATAGACTAAATATTTTATGTAATATTTTATGTAATATGACAAATATAAATAAACATTTCTTAATAAGTATGTTTTACTTGAATTATAATAACTCATTAAGTATTTTCATAGCATTTATTATAATATTTACAATAAATATTTATGATCTGTGCAATCTAAGATCACAAAAATATTTACAAAATATTTAAAATAAATCTCATAAATATTTATAAATATTTTATAAATATTTTATAAATATTGTGTACTGTCTGAGTAGTTATTCTCAAAAACGAAAAAGTTTTTTTCTAAGAAAAGAATTTTAAATACATTTTTTTGAAATATATATATAATTTTTTACAGTCATATTATTAATTCAAAAATATATGTATAAGTCCAGAATATACGAAGAAAAAATTATTGTACGATAATTGAAAGATGGCGACTTTAATTTTTTTTCTGCGACAAATAAACAAGTTCTTTTGGAATTATATCTGTATTCTCTAACTTTCGAGCGTCTTTATTAGGCACTACTTTGTTGCGATTCATCTGACTCCTTTTCGCACACGTGTCTACATTACCATAAACGATATTATGCGGTCAATGGCAGAGGACCGAAGGACCGATCATCATTATCTCGTGACCGTATTTAGTCTTCCGGAAGTGTTCTGCGCTTAAACGAATCCGCAACTTATGCGATTCAAACGCAGTTACATCAATTCATTCATTTGGTTAAAAATCGCTATGTATGAACACATATTTATTATAGTTCTCTAAGGTTCACGCAATTTTTGTCTTTTGGTTAAGATAAATTTAACACTGTACACAGAAAAATACATGTTGTTCGCAATATATTGTTTACGCATAAAATATCCAGCCTTGACTTTCATGCTCCTAACTTATTTTATTATTGAAGAAAATATTCTTTAAAATAAAGTCAATTTCAAATAAAGACAAACGGAGACTGTTTCTTAAAAGAAAGAAAATAAATTGAGTCACCACTTTCTTGGCAATGGAACGATATATTTTTGTGTGTAGAAATATCAAGCGGTCATTACTGATAGTTTCTGTTTTCTCGATCAATATATATTTTCTATATAAAAGATAAGATAGAGATTCTGTAATTGTTTATATATAATTTATCAATAATTATATATCCCCCCTATATATTGAGAAGTAAATTTTGTTTTTTTGTCACTTTCTTTATTTTCATAGTAATTTATTAGTTTTCAAGTATTAAAAGATAAATATTTATATTTTTTATCCAGATAAATGTTTTCTTAAAGATAAATGAATTCTTCAGATAAATGTTTTCTTATAAATTTTTTATAAAGGATTGATCCTAGATGAATTTCCTATTAGATGAATTTTGAAAATTTAAAACAATGACCTTGACTCCGATCGACTTAAAACATTAATAAATTATAAAGCAAACTCCTATTTCATCCTAAGACTATAAAGAATTAAGTTTTTTGCTTTATTTTCATGGCAATTTATACAGCTTATAATAACTCAATACTTTAAAGAGATTCAATTTTTCTGCTCTAACATTCACATTGCAACTTTTTATTTAGATCAAAGCCAGCAGGTAGATAGTTGCGGTGCTCGCTTTGTCGACTTCCCTAAGGCTTGGCAACAAGACGATGACGCGAATTCTCGTCGCGACCGCCGTTATGCGCTTGAAAAACCGCAAAGCGATTCGATTCGGTGATCGCTGGCGTGGGTGGTGCGGCTTGGCCTTCTCCGCTTGTGCTTGTGCTTGTGCTAACGACCGCCGATGACGTCATCCTGTCGTAAATGCGCAAAGATGTCTCAAGGAAAATCGTGGATCTTTTGAGGAACGTACCCGATCCACGGCAGGTTTTTTTATTTATACCTTCCTTAGGGCAATCACTATGGGAATTCTGATATATTGATAAATATGCTGATATCAGTATCGAACTTAACGTTTTATCTGATAGGTATACTAATACCAATATTGGATTCAAGGTTTTATCGAGATGTATCTAGAGTGACCATATTACTTTCTTTAATTATATCTAAAGAATAAGTAGAGAACTGATTGAATTGGATATACTTTGAGAAAAAAGTCAAAATATTCAGAAGCAAATGTTATTTGTGACTTGTGATACTCGTTTTATTAATTGTAAAAAAAAATAGATGTTTATCTATTCTATTCTTTTTATAAAAATAAAAGGTGGTTTATTTACTAGGAATAAAATTTTATTTTGCCATATTTAAATAAGGATTTATTTCTGTGAAATAAACATTATCTATGTCTCTCCTACAAATTTTTAGGCATTTTTTTTTCAGTGTAATAATAGAAGTTATCGATACATTCATAAATTTCCAAAAAGAAACAAAATTAAGATATACATATTATCTCCCACTTTTTTATTTTTATAGAGTAAAAAACATTTTGTGTTTGTGTTTAAATCAATTTAAATCTTGTTAAAATTTTCGTATTCAATTTTTAATATATCTGAGTGTCATTTTAACATAATGTAATTATTATTTGGATATTTTGCGTTAAATAGATATTTAATATTTCTTAGTATTTTAAAATAACACAATTTATAAGTAAGTGAAAAATGTTAACAAGGACTTAAGTGGACCGTTTCTAATCAAACATAAAATGCTTTTTATTGTGCATGTATTGCCATGTATTGCTTTTCCTTGACATACTGCCGCCATTTTAATGAATTTCTCTTTATTTCAATATTAATTTGAATCATCTACAGCTCACCTTCGATGATGCTCGGTAATTTGCGAAAGAACTTCACAGAGAGAATGGCAAACTGCACCACGTGATCCGTCTCCTCTGATTGGGTACGGACATCAAAGCTCCATAGGCATGAAAGAGATTGGAGAAATCTAGTCACATGATTGGACAACTGATTGGACATGGGCATTCACGTGATGCAATTTGCCACTCTCTCCCTCTCTACTGTGTCGAGGTGCGCAGGAATCACGCATGCGTGCGCGTCCTCGTTCGACTCGCTCACTCCGCTTGCTCCGCCTCCGCAGTCTGCTCGCGGCTCGCGGCTCGGTCTGACGTAGTCGGGTAGAGTGAGAGCAGTCGTAGGTCGCAGTCGCTCGCGGTCGTTCGTGAGTCACGAGTGAGTAGGAAGAGGATCGACGATGTCGCTGCTGCCGGGTGCGCTCGAGGCAGTCAAGGCTCGACGAGGACGCCAGCGTCTTCCATAGGCCACGCTACGTTACGCTACGTAGCAACGTCGCGACGCCACGCGCTACTTAGCGCGTCGAAAGACCACCTTCACGTCTCCGTCGCAGCGGAGAAACGACGGTGGCGTTGATCACATCTCGCGTTCCTTCGTCTCGAGCCCGATGCGCTCCATTCCGCGAGACCATGGCATCAGTGAAGGTGGCCGTGAGGGTTCGACCCTTCAACAAGAGGTGCGTGTGTGTCGTGCAACTGGTGACCGGAAGAACCTCGCCTTACGTCTCGTCTTACGACGAGTAAAATCAACGAGTCGCTTATGCATCAATTATTATGACTTTAGTATCGTCATCGTGTTTGCTTCTTACAGTCGCACTTCTCCATAATTACGACGCTAGAATGTCCGTCTGCGGTGCTGTGCGTGATTGCGACAAAATCCCGTTTTCTCTCTCTCTCTCTCTTTCTCTCTCTCGCTCTCTCTCTCTTAGGTTCGTTGCCAGTCCGTATTGTTCTGAATTCAGCTGGACACACGTCGGTGTGTCCAGGTACGTGCGAGATGTATCGCGCGCAAATTTACCTGAGAGATTTACGCGAACTTAATGATACGCTGATCGATCAAAGCCTTAGTACAAATCCCGCCCTTACCAATCAATTTAATGTTGGCCAATTTAATATTCGACAATTTCTTATTCAATTTGATGCTGGCGAATTTAATACTTAAAATAAATAATTTCTTATTCAATTTGATGCAAATTTAATACTTAAAATAATTATTCAATTTAATACCGGAAATTATATTTATTTTGGACCAAAATACTAGTTTTCAATACTTTAATATTCAAAATAAATAATTTCCAGTATTTTTTAAATTGAATAAGAAATTATTTCGAATGTTAAAAACACTGTCGTTCTGTGTTTTTAATACTCAAAATAAATAATTTGTAGTATTAAATTATTTATTTATTTTGAGTAAAAAAATCACTAAACAGTATTTTTAATACAAAATAAGCAATTAATCCTTGCCTTCAGTGTTCAATTTCTATAAGGTCAAACAATACGTTAAATTACGTCACATATATTTGAATGACGACACTGAGGCGCATCCAATGCGCACCGTTGCACCATCCTCGAAATATTCAAAAAATATTCCAGTTTCTCCTGGATATATCCTAGATTTCCCTGCTATTCGTATTGCTGCCAGTCAATATTATTACGTAATTATTTTGCGGTCAATAGCATCTCGTAGATGATGTTTCTTCATACTACAGCATTATTGATCATCGACATGGACATTAATCGTCGCTGGAATCATTGACGCAATGTTATTGAATACAAAGGATGATGCATGCGCGCGATGAATACCGTTGAAATCATTGGAGAACGGATTCGTCATCGTTAGAACGATTCAATCCTCCCCGCACATTCTGTGCTGCAGAAAATCAAACACAAAAAGAGTAAAGACTAATGATTCACTTCCGGTTGAATAAATTTTTACTTTATTATTTAAATTTGTATTCTATCTTGTTCATCTTACAAATTCATCTCTCGGATACTTACTATATGTAAATATCTTTATTTACGAGGAGGTATCCTCATCGATTTTATCTTAATTTTTTTATTTATATTGATCCTTCGTTGCCATTTTAATTCAGTCATTTAAGTAAAGATTGGAGGAGCAAATCTTGAACCATCATACACTTCAAATCACACTTTTAAATTTTAGAAAACATTTTGTTTGATGAGATGTCTCAATTAATAGTCTTAATTAATATAAGTTATTAAAAAAAAGCTCTTTTACTTCAAAAAAGAATACGCTGTATATTTTTTGTTCGCAAATTTGCTGTTTTTTATGCTGGCGCGAGAACTTGATCAATACGTTGAGTATTAATTCCATTTTCTTTATAAAGAGCAGATAATATAGTAATATACATTTAATATTTAATGATAATTATATTTAATGATAATAAAATACCTTTAGAGAATTATATTAATAATATTAGATGATTTTTTTTTTTTAATGAGGATTTCGGAGCAATATCCTCTTTGAAACGACGAATTTAATTATTTTATCGCTTGCAAAGTAAAAAGATTTGAGAAGTGACAGGAACTCCAATTCAAAGCCGTCGTTGTCGAACGTTATTGACAACATATGACACAATTGTGTCATCGCGGTATTGACTGGTGTGCATTACGGTTGCGCGCGTCTCGTTGATTTCCGAATTCGGTCTTCGTCTATCGAATGTCTATCGTAACGGGAGAGGTCGATGCCAGGATAACTACGTGTTTGTTGCTTTCCAGAGAGGTAGCGATGAACGAGAAGCTGATCGTACAGATGAACGGCAAGAAGACGCGGATCTTCAACACCAAGGTAAGCCATTTCTCGTAGCGCGTCACTGCCATCCGCCCTTGTCGAAATATATGGAGTCATGTTTGCTTTTTATCATCAAGTCTCATGCGTCGCCTTTAAATAGTTGCTCTTTAAAATTTTTAGAATGAATCTCACTCTTAAAGATTGAAAACTGAGCTACTCTCTTTCAAGACTAAGCTCAATTTTCACTCTTCAGAGATTTCATCCCAAAAAATTTATTGAGAGTTGATTATCGTAACACTACAAAAGATTTGTAAGCTGCAGTTACAAAGGATTCGAAAGTTGTTGCTGTTTCCAGCTAAAGCAAAAATCATAAAACTATTCTCGAGGATTACTTGTTTTATTCATAAAACTGAGACTTACGTCACTATAATATAACGATTTTTTTAAACGGTAATGGTAGAAAATACAGTGCGCAGTGGACAATACATTATCTCGTTTGTAAAATTGTTATGTCTATTTTCTTCATAGCTCTGTGACGGAATTTGCAGAATAAATGGCGTTTCGTATAATTCAATTCTTTTCGATCAATATGATTTTGAAGCTCTAGAAATAACAGAAATAATATTTTAACGTGTCACAATTTTAAGGAATTTAACATTAAAGCTTTCTTTTTAGGAGACACAATCGTTCTGCCCTTCTTAGCATTTAATGAATAGTAAAGATAGAATGACATTTAGGTCGACTATGTCTCCTAAAAGAAAAACAGTCCTCATAAATTTGTCCTTAATTTGTAATTAATTTGTCCTGTTCTTTCTTTTTTAAATACAATTTTGAAGCCTCATAAAAACATTTTTTATCGCATCACAATTTTAAGTAATTTGAAATTAAGTCTTTCAAATTTCTTAAAACTCAAATATTTTTCAGTTTAAAATCATATCGAGAAAAAACAAGTGATAATTATTTTCTTTGAATTTTTTCAACTGCATAATAATAATTATATAATAATAATTCAATCGAGAATTCAATCTAGTTGGATTTCATTATGGTTGTTGTTATTGTTAATCAGCAGCTGATCCGAGCAGCTAGCTGCACAAAAGCGACGGTAAATTCCAAGTATGATTATCAATCGAGGTCAACTGCTCTCGCACGGACGATTTTCACGTGCAAATTGCCTGGTTTCGGAGCCGGTTTCGATCTTGTTTCACAAGAATGCGAATTTGATCAATCGCTACGTAAGATGTTCCGGAGGAGACAAAAAGCAGTGCATACATAAAGAATTGGGATATTTCGAAAAATCTAAAAATTAATTGTTAATACAGTGAGAAAAAGATTTCTAATATATTTGTGACTATAATTAAATGTTACTGTAATTAGGATTATTACTACTATAATGTCAATAATAATAGCTGTACATATAATTCTATTAACAAATATATACATATAGTTGATATCGAAAATGACTACAAATTATAATTATTATCACCATAAAAATGACTGCAATGTATGTTATAATTTAACTATAATTTATAGCCGTTTTCAGTGTCACCTATAAATATAGGATTTTTGTTAATAGAATTATAAGTACAGTTATTATTACTTATTATTACTTATAATAGTAATAACCATAATTACGGTAATATGTTATCATTACAGTAATTATAGTCATAAGTACAAAAACTTTTCTCTCAGTGCAGTGCTTGTCTTTTTTTTATTTTTCTTGTTAGTGAGATATTATTTATTGGTCTTTTACATTTATTCTATGTTGGTAAAAACTTCAAGGAACTTTACACAACATTTCTTTCTCTTCTTGTTTGATATTTTGTTGAACTTTGTTGCATAATACAAGCCTCGAATTTTGATGATTGTGACCTTCTAGATTTGTTCTTGTCAAACTTAACGAGCGAAAATTAACAATTGAAACAATGCTTGAATAATAATCTGTTTTAAATGAAGAACTCTACCTTCTTTATGTTCTATTAAATAACGATAGAATTATCCATTATTCAGTTTAAAACAGATTTTACTTTAATAAACATATCAGGCTTGATATATAAAGTTTTAAATCGAGATACTATTGATGTTTATTTACATTATTGAATGTATATTACTGCTGGTTATAGATAGTCGCTCAAGTTATAGATAATCGTTGGTCAGAATGCGTAGGCGGATGTCAACATATCTTCGATGCTAAAAGTGGTTGTTGTTGCATATTTGCGTTTTGGCTGTATATTCATAAAGAACTGAAGGTCTTATTTATGATGTAAGCCGTGATTACATCACGAGTCCGTTGTCATATATCCATTCTAAAGCGCCGGTAAAGTAAAGTTAAGCGGTGGGTGGCTCGTATAAGTTCGACGTCTCGCGTTACGATCAATTTTCGCTTGATAATAGATTGCGACTACAAGAAAGTTTTGATGCCACATTTTCAATAATTTTACATTAATTAATTTGAAAATATCAGGAGAATATTCTGCAAATAGCATCAACTTTTTAAATAAAATTTCTAATCAGACGTTTGTTATTTAAAATAGAGAAAATTTTTACAGAATGGATTAGTTCTATTGATATGTAGTAATATTCTTGGTATGTACAGTAGTTTGAGCATGTAACAACACACTTCGTGGTACCGCAAAGTACCGAGAAGTAATGGCCTTAAATAAACTTTCTAAAGAATTTCTAAACCGGAAGCCGAGATGTAGATGATCTGCTCTTTTGTGCTACGATTGGTCGATGCTTCGTAAAGTTTAGTGTCATAATTTCTACCTGAATAACTTTTATGAATTTCTAAGCCATAATTATTAATTGGACCTTTGACCGACAAATCCAGCTTATCAAAATGAAAGCTTGGTGCGCATCGTGTTTACATGTTTCTTTCAAGTAAATCATTTTGATAAAGTTTCGAGAATTATTTCAACTGGAAAATATCACAGATAATAATTAAAAAAGAGCGTGAAGAAAATGATTTTTTGTAATAAATAAATTTAGAAGATTGTTCAATTTTCTCTGACAATAAGAATCTCAATTTGTTTTCAAATTGTTTATTTTACAATGCTTTGCGAGAGAAACAATATTTGAAAAATGAGTGAAAAACAATGAATGAAAAATTGATTTTTGCAAAAATAGACCTTACTTAACAAAACAGAAAGTATCTTGATCGTATATCTATTTGTAATTGTCTGTGTGAATCTCCCAGTTGAAAAGTAACAAGGCATGCGTTGAGGAGAAAGTGCGAAAATCGCGGTTGGACCGCAGCAACCAGCAACTCGTTATTCGACGATTGCGGCTACGCAATCGAATGCAATTGCCGCAGCCGCGCAGCGTTGTATAATCTATGTTTTATCCGCATTCAATTAAACCTTATCCGGATCTCTCTTTCCAATCAAAAGAAAAGGCCAATCCCGTAGAGTGATCTCCCGGCAAAAAAACGTCTCTGGCGAGCACGAGTTAAGTGAAGTCTTGTCCAAAGGTGCAAAACGTACTTATGTAGATTAACTTTAATCTCAGTTCAACTCAACTTACCCTTCATTTTTTTCTAAAAACTTTTTCTGAAAAAAAAGATGAAGAGTCAGTTGAACCGAGATTAAAATTAAATACATTGATGGAAAGAGCAAGAATTAAAGTGAATATAAACTATAAACTATGTTCACATAATTGTCTATTATTATATTTAAAAATAATATTATCCATATATTTTACTACTATATTTACTACTATTATTACATTTTTATAGCACGTTGATATTTCTTGGTAAAAAAATACCAACTCGCAAAGATTGAGATAAGATTAATCAGTTTTAAAAAGTTAAGTTGATTGAGCTGTCAAACTGCTCGTAAAGTTATTGTTGTTTTAATACAATACAATCAGTTTCTGATAAAATATTTTTTTTTAATTATTTTTCACTGTATTTCGGAAAATTTAGAAACAAAATTTGGAAATTTAAATTTGGAAACACCCCGGGAAGCTCTAAGCAGACTGAAATTTATTAAGAATAGATTAATGAGCGACTTTGAACTTCGCTTCGACTATGTGCTGTGACGGAGTTTAAAAATTTTCGCGAACATGTTCGCATGCGAATATGTAAATTAATATATTGCCTCCTAACCGCTAGCATGTTTGTAGACTCGATATAAACTGTATGCAAAATCGAAAGCGAGATTGACTTCAAAATCATTCTTATTTTTTTTAATTACCTCCCATTCGCTTTCTTGCATAATGCAGTACGATGTTCTCAGCGATGTTTTATCAGTTACATAGAATCCAACATGAAGAATGCATATTTTATATAATTATCGCATATAGCAATATCACGTAAATACACATGAGTCAAACGTCAGTCACATTTAGATAGTCAAGTAGCTTTCCGAAAACAAAGAAAATACCAAAAAAAAAATTTGGTTTAAAAAAATTTTTAATTTCAAAAAGTAAGAAATATATATATCTTCTGTTTGGAAAACCTGGAAAATCTGAAATTCTTAGAAAACTTTACTGTTTCGAGAAATCAAATATTTATCGGAAAATGTTTCCAATAAATATCTGATTTTGAAATGACCTTTTTAAAGATTTTATTTTTATTTCGCAAGAAATACCAACGTGCTATAAAAATATAATAATAGTAGTAAATAATAGTAGTAGTAAAATATATGGATAAGATGATTTTTAAATATAATAATAGACAATTATATAAACATAGTTCATAGTTTATATTTACTTTTCACCTTTATAAGTTCTATTATCCATTCATCCGCATAGATCGGACTTGGCTAATGATAATTGAACTTTAACACTAACAATGATGATAAAGCAAAAACTACATTGAAAGAACGATTGCTATTTACTGTTTACAGACACCGGATAGCTGCAGAGATATCGACCGTGGGAAGTACAAAGACTTCACGTTCGATCATTCCTACTGGTCCTTCGATTCAAACGACGAAAACTATGCGTCCCAGGAAGAGGTTCATATCAATATTTTCTTTCATGGCAGAATGAAACGAAGACTAAAGTAAAAATTATTCTTGAGATTTCGCGATCGATGACGAAGCTGTCGACCTTGAAAAGAGTGAAACGTTCACGATAACACTACCGTGTAAGACGAAACCGAAGTCGTTTTATGTTCGCAGAGTTATAATTAGCTTAATGACAAACCTATATTGAATTAGAGACGGAAATAAATTTAACGAAAGAGCTTGAGAACGAAAAGGCGAAAGTGTGTCGAGCGCGGTAACAATTGTAGCAATAATTGATCTTTCTCTAATGATATAATCAACAACTGTCTATTGTAATGTTGTGACAGGAGCTTTAGGGCCGATTAATGTTTCCAACAAACATTTGTAATGAATGAAAGAGGGCTGTCAAAGCATAATCAAACAGAATAATCTTTATTAAGCAGAACACAATACAGGATCATCGTTATAGTATAATCGTTAGAGTCAACGTTATTGTGATAATTAGATATCATTATGTAAAACGCGTAGCACGTTCCGTCGAGGGATAACAGTGAGACTAATAAAATTCGCTTCGCTTCCGCTATCCAATCGTCTTTTCTCCAGGTTTTCTACGATCTTGGTACGGACGTAATAGAAAGTGCCTTCGAGGGCTACAATGCCTGCGTTTTTGCCTATGGCCAGACAGGATCCGGGAAGACCTTCACGATGATGGGCACGCCGGTAATGCAATAATCTAATTTTTCACAAAGACACCTTTTTCACAGTCTCATTTTTTATAGATGGAAAAAAGATTTTTGTGTCGATATATTTCTTCCGAATATACAATAATTTTAGCAAAAAGATGAGAGAAAGAAAAATGAATAAACGAGAGGAATGAAATTTCCATTTGCTATGGAATATGAAATTGTTGCATGATCGAGTAGATATAATTATTAATTAAGCAACATAAAACCAGCTTTTTTGAGAAACATAATAAATAAAATCTCTGATGTCATTTTATAAAAAATTACTGAATTATTAATTATTAGTTTTCTTCAATTTCGGCCAAATCAATATATTTTGCAATAATATATAAAATAAAAATTCCATAATTAATCAAACTTTTTCCACCTTCTTTTTTGTTTTTAAAATTTATTATGTGCGATTGTTATCATAGGAATCTCAGGGATTGATACCACGAATTTGCAAGACGCTTTTCGCTAGAATGGCAGCTGGAAAGGAAAGCGGGGCGTCGTACAGAACGGAAGTATCATTCCTAGAAATCTATAACGAAAGAGTAAGAGATCTACTTAGACTGGACCAAAGCCAATCCCATTCACTGAGGGTACGAGAACATCCCACGGGAGGGCCTTATGTTCAAGATCTATCGTGTCATCTCGTCTACGATTATTCGGACATTCAGGTAAAGCTAATTACACACTTAGCGAATGAATTTCTAAGAAAATTATTAATATTTTTGGTAAACAAAAATTTATAATTAATTCAATAGGGGATCAATAGATCCATTGTCAACTTCGAAAGATTAATAGTAAGTCCTATCGCGCTATCTGTTTATTGTAGATATTATTTTGAAATTAATATTATTTTGAAAACAACAGGACAAATACATATTATTTTATCACACATATAATTTCTTTTATCGCATTATTTGTAAAATAATTTTTAGCATTGCTTTTTAGTATAAATAAAAATATTTTAAAATAAAAGATATATATATATAAGATAAATATTGTTTTAAGATAAATATACAATAATAAATAATGAACGTAATACTATATCAATATTTCTTTTAGTCACAATATTAATAAAAGAATTATTTTTGTTTTAGGAATGTATGGTGAGAGGTAATACGCACAGAACCACAGCCAGCACAAAGATGAACGACGTGAGTAGTAGGAGTCACGCGATTTTTACGATAACTTTCGTACAAGCCGGCCTCTCGGAAGGCAACATGCCGTCGGAGACTGTTTCCAAGGTGCACCTTGTCGACTTGGCCGGAAGGTAGACTCGAAAAGAAAGAAAGCATCACAAGTCGAGTTATTTTTTCGTCCGTTCGCGAAAATAAAAGAAACAAAGTAACATAAACATCATGATAAGTTACACAGTTTCCTAAAAAAATGTTATCTGCCTTTTCAGTGAACGTGCGAATGCGACCGGAGCGACGGGTCAACGACTCAAGGAAGGCGCGCACATCAACAAGTCGTTGGTAACTTTAGGCACTGTGATATCCACGCTCTCTGAGCTCAGTTCTGCCAGCGGTGATGCGTTTGCTACAAAACGAAATACGTTTATCCCTTATCGCGACAGCGTGCTCACGTGGTTGCTAAAAGATTCCCTGGGCGGCAATTCCAAGACTATCATGATAGCGACTATCAGTCCGGCGGAATGCAATTACAACGACACTCTTAGCACTCTTAGATACGCCAATCGTGCGAAGAACATTATTAATAAGCCGACTATCAACGAAGACGCAAACGTGAAACTCATCAGAGAACTCAGAGCGGAAATAGAAAAATTGAAGTCTCTCATCGACAAAAATATGGTAAGTATCACGCGTTTTTCCCATATTCTTTCTCATTGCCGTTTTAGAAAAAGTATATATTTATTTGTTAATTGTAGAGCGTGGAAAAACCGCCGCAAGTGCTGTTGGCTCAAATCCAAGAGAAACAAGAACAAGAAAAGGTATTAACCGAGGAATGGACCGAAAAGTGGCGAGAAACGCAACAGATTCTGCAAGAACAAAAAGCGCTAGGATTAAGAAAGAGTGGGGTCGGTGTCGTTCTTGACTCGGAAATGCCGCATTTAGTCGGTATCGACGACGATTTGCTCAGTACTGGCGTTACATTGTATCACCTAAAAGAGGGAAAAACACTAGTCGGCACGGAGGAAGCTCCCGTTGTCCAGGTAACAATATAAATATAATAAAATTCTTAGATACATAAGATTACATACATAGAGAAAATAGAAATTATATATAAGCAAGATGTGTAAACTGTTTGTTTTTTTTAGCTGAACTTTTTGCACGATTTATCTCTCCTCTTTTTTTTCTGTTAAAAAAAAATAAAAGATGAATGATACAAAAAGTTCATCTAAAAAAAAACAGGCCGTATTAATTGATTTAAATAAAAGCCTAAGCTTCAAGAGACTGCATTATTTTTATATATCAATTAATAAAAAAAATGATTTAAAATACTCGTTATATTATAAACAGGATATTGTATTGACCGGTGCGGATGTGGAACCAGAACATTGCGTGGTCGAGTTGGATAGTGGCGTGGCGACGCTGCATCCGCTCTCATCTCACTGCTGGATCAATACTGCCCAAGTGGACAAACCGACAAGATTATCGCAAGGATGTATCATACTTTTGGGTAGGAACAACATGTTCCGGTACAACGATCCGGCTGAGGCAGCGAAGCTTCGGAAGGAGGGTGGATCTGGTAACGGCAACCTGCAATCAACGGTTGTCAATCTGTCGAGGTTGTCGCTCTTAAGTTGGAGCGTCTCCGATCTGCACGCATCCTGTTCTAGCGACAATCTCTTGAACTCGAGCGAGGACCTCAGAGCGGTCGAGGAGTTGGAACAACAAAAAGCCGCTCTTCTGAAAGAAAAGGAAGACTTTAAAGTAAATGAAATATTCTAGATAGGACATTTCTCGTTGAACCGAATTTTGACTAACGATATATTTTTCGTAGAGAGAACAAGAAGAACGCGAGGAAAGATGGGCTGCTAGAAGGGAAGCGCTAGAAGGAGCCCAACGTGAATTAGAACGCGAGTGGGGAGCACAATGGAAAGAATGGGCGGATGCGATTGCGGTCCTGGAGTCGCGTCAACGCGAGCTACGCGCGAGACGGCATATCCTGGAGCAAGAACGGCGGGACGAAATGACGCAAGTAAGTGACACGGACGCGCCTCCGTCTCCGGAATTGAATGTAATCTCGATTAAGTACCAATTCTACCTCGTCCTTGTCGCTATCGGTGTCCTTATTTGCTTGTCTGGCAACATCATCATCTACTCGCACGTTTGTCCGTTAAATATGTGATAGTCCGGTACGTCGTAAAATTTCGCTCTTCACGCGTCACTGCGAGATGCCGCGAATCGTGGACGAACATCTGCGAGTGTCCCGACTGCAAACAACTGTTTGCGAAACAACATTTCAATCATTCGACCAAAATTTTTATGATTAAGATACACAGTACTGTCTATCGATATCTAGATCCAGATCTATCAGTATGTGTATTTCTCTATAGCAAGCTTTCTAGTACTTTTTAGCAAGAGATATAGTGTAATACAGTAATCATTTCATTTTTGTTTAACATTAGCAAACAACAAGAATGTAATGATTTACTGCATCATTTGTATCATTTGTATTTCTTGCTAGAAAGCACTCTTCGTTGTCGATGAGATTTGCGTTCGCTATCCATGAGATTGTCTTAATTCCTCTGCCGGCCTCAAGAATATCTTCAAATATATTGCGTATACTTAACATTAATATTTATAAATGGTTTATGTTAACAAATTGCGTTAATGTATATGAGTAAGCTACTGATCGTGAAAAGGTGCTAGTGCTGAAGAGATATTGCCGGACAGATGGCATTCCTTGGAATGTTATATATTTAAGTATCTAGTAAGAATGTTAAGAGTGAAGTATGTACATATCTTGGGCTTGTTTGTATAGAGATACGTCTATGGGTTTGTTATGCGAGATATAAAGATACAGAGGCACTAATTATTGTTATACTGATATATATATATATATATTATTGTTGTTTAATAAATTTTTCATACAAAAATTGGCGTTTAATCCTCCACAAAGTATTTGCACGCACTCTCACTGTTTTTTATCTCTGTTTCTCACAATAATTTTTAAGAATATGCATTCGATCGATTTAACACTCCCGATTAACAAACCCAATTTTTTCATTAACTCATTGTCGCCGCACCTCGGGATCCGTCTGCATGATGCACCATTCCGAGTATTGATTATTGAATAGAATGAAGAAAACTTTATTATTTTTTTGAGGCAATGCATCCGCGAGAATATATCCGCTATTTGTTCATTCTGTTTATTTTGTGAGTTGTTTATTCATATTTACATTTATTTGTTAAAGGCGTGCACAAGGATTAAGTTTAGATACTTGCGTTAATATTTATGCTATCATTGGAAATATTTTATTCTATTACTGTCAAATAACATTTAATTAAAAGACATTTTTGTACATTCTGAAAAAAAAAGCATAAACATTATTATTTCCATTTTATTCATTTTTAGGCGCTATCTCGTCATTCTGATATTTCGTAATTATAAATATATTTAGTCTTTCGTTTATACGCAACATGTATCATGGCAAATTATTAATATTTAATTTTGAATCATCTTTTGTTGATTATATCTTTTGTTAACGCATCGGTGTGTGTGTGTGTGGTACCAGGTAGAAAGTATATGTAGGGAAGTCGCCTATCTGCGCACATTATTGCAGTCCAAGCATCGACAATTGCAAGAGCTCGTCAACAATCAGGGACGTGCACAAACTTACCAGCAACGGTGGGAAAAGGTAAGGAATATTATAAGGAATCTTCGCGAGGAATCCGTATCTGTAATACGCACACATATTGCAAATGACGCGATGCATACTCACACTATTTATATTCATATAACTTGATTTACGCAGACAATATAACATCTCTCTTGACAGTAATTCTTTATAATGTGCAATAAAACAACGGAATGTGAAGTATTCCGATTTCTAGATCTTGTATGAATGTAAAAGGTCGGACGTCTTACTTTATAGTAGTTTTAGTACAATTTTGTAGAGAGTGAGTGAAGCGGAATGTACATTTCAGACGGACAATGGTGCCGGTAGTGATGACAGTCTGCCCGAATCTTGGTCTAGTCTCAACGATGAAAAGTGCATCGAGAGTGTCAGAGAATTAGTGAATCATCACGTAAGTGAAGTTAAGTTAATTAAGGCTCTTGTTCACTCTACTATCTCAGATTATGAAGCCAGAAATGAGAAAATATATAATAAAAAAGTTTTTATAAAATATATTAGTATGAAAATGTTTTAATAAAACACAATCGATAGAATCAACTTGTAAAATGGCATTTAGCAGAGAAAGTAGCTTTGCAACTGTTGTAAAATTCTTCAAGATCATTGGTTTATACATTTAGATCCAGAAACCAAAAACAACAATCAATTGTATTGAAGAATTTTACAACAGTTGCAAAGCTGCTTTCTTTGCTGAACCAGTCAATATTAAAAATTTTTTTTGTTTCGTTAATTAATAAATAATTATGAGTGCTTTCCATTTGTTAACGCAAGTCTTTCTATCTTTGTTTACTCACTGGAATGATACAAAGATAGAACGATGTTTGTATCGACTTCTGGACTAATAGAGAATGGAGAACGCCATATATATCCATGATGTATTCTTACATTACATCATGCATATATCTGGAAATGAATTATGCATAAGCAAAAACGAAATGAGTTCATAGCTATGGTAAACTATTAAATTAATAATAAATAGCAATATAAATATGATTTAATTTCTTCCCGAAATAGTTTAGAGATATTTTATCAATTATAAATTATTTTATTGAAAAATATATTTCTATTTAAATATAATTTGCGAGAAATTTTATCGTGTTTATTCGCTTCTGACATCACACAATCTGAGATAGTGAGTGGCAAATGAATAGGAGCCTTAAGCGTTTCTCTTCAATCTTGTTTGACTACTTTCTTTTAAAAATATGTGATTTTCTTAAATAGAAAAAAGAGCTAGTCGCTTTAGAAAACGAGTTGCAGAGCAAGGTCAAATCTTTAAATGAACATCAGAGTAAAGTGGATAAGATGGAGGAGGAACTGATGGAGATCGCGAAGAAGCAGAAGCAAATATTCAAGGCAGAAGTATGTATACGTAAAATACTAAGATTCTAAAATACTAAGAAACGATTCTTTACATTAATGATTTCTAGCTGGGAGGTGAAGGAGTAACGGAGAAGAAACTATTGTTAGCCAAACGAACTCAGGAACAGCTTGAAGAAATCGAACGGCGTAAACACAGTCTATCGTTGGACTTAAAACGCACTACGCCCGCGTTTCTGGATGATGGTTGTTCATCGAATGATTGCGACGAGGCTTTCAGCTGTAATTCTACATCTTTCCACGAAGTGAACAATAGAAAACATCAGATCGCCTCAGACTTGAATTTGTTGCCGCAGAGTATACCGAGCTCCGATACCGTGGAAACATTCCACACGGCAGCGGCTGATTCTCCGGAACTTCGCATAGCTTTCGAAGATGTCGATACGACATGTATAAACGATCTGATGAAAGATAAATCTGCAATTGAAGACCGAGATGACAGCTCATCTGAAGTGGATACTAAAAGCACGATAAATGCGAATAGAGCTGCTTCCATGGAGTTGGTGAGTGACGAAGAAGGGAAGGTACAACCGCCCACGGTGTCCATCATCCCGGAGAACATGCTCCAGGATACGTTGGAATCGCCAATACAGCAAAATCCGGCGATGAAGAGGCTGAACCAAAGAATCGCACGTCAACGGATGATGGTGATGAGATGCTTGGACGCCGGTACCCCGTCGAAGGAAGATCTCAATCGACAAATAATGATACTACAGGATCTGCAGAGACAGCAGATCGAATTGGAAGTGTCTTTATTGGAGGATGAACGGAAAAATCATTCCACGAGGCGACTTCAGTGCGACGACGACGACAACAACCATAGTGATAGACTCGTCATCAACGAAACCGAGGACTATGTACAGAATGAACCAAATGCTTACTGTAGTGTTGTAGAACCTACCAATAATAGTTCCGCCACTCTATTAACGGTAGCGCAAACCAGATCTCAACTTTTCAGGAATAACAGGCCTAATACTAACGATCAAGAGACTCTGTCGGAATCATTAGCGTCTAAAAGATCCTCTAGTCGGGGTTACTCGACGGTTTATTTGACGGTAAATCATCAATTTCTTCCATTTCAAAATTTGTTCTTTGTGGCTGAACATTTGTTATACTTAATTCTTTGTGATTCAACGTTTTTCTCATTGCTTTCCTAATCCAATCAGATGCCTAATGTGTTTTTCAAATTGTTTTTAGACTCTAAAAAAGTCTGAAAAAATTCTAATACACTCTTTAAACATTCAAAAATACGAATTTGAGGCAGAATAATTAAGAATTGAAAATTTGTCTCGGTTGGACCACGGAGATTTAAACTGAAATAGATATATTTTTAAAGTTTTTAGCTGAAGCGAGATAGAAAGTTTTAGTATATTAGTCCAATACGGAGCAACAAAGAACAATTTAGATTTTAGATGATCAATCTCGAGACAACTTCAACACACATTTTTTGCACAGAGTCAGAATCGCGGCGACCGCTTGAGTAGTCCGTATTCTTTGACAATCACGAGGTCTCTACCATCATTAATAGCGAACGACAACGACTGTGTGATTAATATGATCGTCAGCGTGCCGTCATATGTGATACGCGGAGCCGGCGCATCCAGCCATTATGAATACGAGGTACGAGTTGTGGCACAGGACGACAGTTGGACGCTGTTACGTAGATACAGAAGGTTTCGGGAGTTGTACATATCGATGCGACAGAAATACGGTAGTAAGGTACGTTATTGTACATTATACAATTATGAAACTGGTACAAATATGTATTGAAGTCAGATCTAAGTGTGGTTTACTTAAGTTTGGAAGAAAGAAATTATTTATAAAATAAAACAATTTTACCATTGCAGAGAAAGAGATCTTGTTAAAAAGTACCTCATTATTACACCTAAATTATTAATCTCATTTAAAACAATTAAATTCGTTATAAAATTCTTTTTATAAATTCTATGTGCCATATAAAATACGGAAAAACATTGAAAAATCAGGACATACCTATATAAAATACAAATCATGCACACATATATATGCATAAATATTACGTAACTTTATTCTGAACTTTGACATGAATTATAAATATTCTAAAATGAATTTTGAATTACAGAAAGGTCCAATTATTTCAAAACTAAAAATATATTATATATTTTTTGTTTTGAAATAATTAGACCTTTTTATCAATCAAAATTTTATATATATATTATTTGTATATATATACACGATTCAGACCATTTTCATAAATGTAAGCACGCATTCGCAACACAATCGATTTTACGGAGACTCTTTGATCACAGGTCGCTGCGATACGATTCCCCCCACGCCAAGTCTTTCCAAAGTACGAAGTCGTAGCGAGGCAACGTCGGAAACGCCTCGAAGAATATCTTCGCCGATTAATTCAAGTTTGTTCAGAACTGCCGCACTGCGAGCCCCTATACAAATACAACGGCAATCTTAGTAATATAAACAAACAATCTTTATTGGAGTTTAGCTCATTTTTCAGGCGCGGTATGTTCGAGAGCGGCAAGTACGGAACTAGCTAAAATACTATCGTACAACCCTCATCTTTTCGAATGCCGAAGAATGAGTAAGAGAATTTAATAAGTAAGTGAAATATGACAAATGTTTATTATTTATCGTATTTTTGTCATTTTCTTTTCTATTTATAGAAATGCAGTAGCTATAGCAAAAAAGATATTGGGTGAATTGAGTAGCAACGACGTTTATACAGAATGAGTCTCGTAACATTTATCGCACACAATACTTACATTTCTTGAATTACATATCAATTCTATGAAAAATCATATAAAAATGAAAGACTAAAATGTTCCGTAACTTATTGATACTTTCAATAATATTACATTTATCAGTAATCGAATTGCAAATGTTAAGTGACTCATCCTGCTTTGTAGCGTTACAAAAAATATATATGCTTCCAGAAGCTTAGCGATCGTAAGACTGGTTTGTAGAAAATGAGCATTCTTCACTGATACTGTCTCGTGCTCGCTGGAAAATTCGCACAGAGACAATAATGTGGAAAGCAACGTGATATATTCTTTATGAGAGAGGAAAGACCGCAGCTAGCGAGACGAAATATATCGCGTCATAGCGATTTATTTTCTCTTTTACAGATATTTTCCTAATGTCTTTCCAATAGAATTTCCCAGTAGAATTCACGAAGTGTACTTTCCTTCGATATAGTCGAGTATCATGTAGTTAATATTATCATTCCAGTTACGTTTCACTAGCACAAACGTACATTATTGTAAATGACGATGCAGCGAAAGAACGAATTCGTCAGCAACGGTGACCATAACTTTGCATAGTTTATTCGATAGCTGAAGAGTATTTATTTTGTGTGTCGAAAAGCATTTTGTATGCGCAATCCGAAGTAGCGAATCGACTAGCGAATTAAAAGACTCCAATTTCTATTAGCGTAATAATAATTATCGGCTTGTGAACGTTGCAATGTATTACAAGCGAAAAAAAATATCATATCTTTGTTAAAGTTCTTCTGCTTTCGGAATCTATCACTGGCTGTTAATAAAACTTTTATCACTACTTCAGGTACGTGTTCTAGAGATCCAAATAAGAAAAGAAATTCATATAAATATGTGTACAGAAATGTAAAGATTAAAAAGAAATAATATTTTCTTATATTTCCCAAACTTAAGATATGAACAAAATAAAAATTTGCTGAAAAACTTTTTTTTATTTTATTCATTGATTTTTCGAGTCGCTCATTTTTTTATTTTTTGGGACAAGAGAAAGAATTCAAAATTTTTAATTTTACTCAGAAATTTAAAAAATTAAAGAAATTAATTAATTACAAGATTATAATTGATTGATACTATAAGACAGTATCTCCATACGTATTTCTATGAACTTTTTTTCAAACTGTGGCCTTTAAGTATGTGAAATAGTGATAAAGTGTTTATTAACAGACGCACTGTCTGTCTGCCTGTTTGTGTGTACGTGTGTGTGCATGTGAGCATAAATGTATATAATACAAGGAATTAACAGAACACTATTAAAGTTGGAGTTGTTATGCAAATGTTAGCGTTTATTTGAATATTAATACTAAACCAAAGTTGATCAATGATATTATCGATTTGGGAGATATCACTGCATTGCTGAATGACAATTGATCAGATCGATCGGATTGTATGATTGAAGTATTAAAGTTTATTGAAAAGCATCTTATATTGGCATGCAAAAAACCTTGAGATAAAAAGCTTGTTCGTTATATAACCAGGACATTTCGTCTTGTATTCTTATCAGATGTTCAAAGATGCGACGAAAAAAAAAACACTTTCAGCTAAGAAAACTATTATATTTAGTATGTTAAAATAAATCTATATTAAAAAAAACACTAAGCGCCACAAGTACGATAAATATGCTTTTCAGTAGTATGATAAAAAAAAAAGGTATTTATTCCATGGCTGTGTGTAACCTGGATTCGAGAAAACCCCACAGATTCATCCTGGCTAATAATTAGTGATAGCGAACTCAATGCTCTAGAGTAACGGCACCGTTCAGTGCGTACTGCGAATACTAATCGAGATGAGTGTATAACGAGGCAGTTATTACTTATTCGAACGGACATTACCTCGCGTATTTCATACAATTCACCGCGATCATCCAGTCGTTATCCGCTTTTTTTATACATGAATCTACGAGACCTATATGTTCCATAAGTGTAACAATGGAGTACAATAAATTGTTATAATGCAGCGCATTTTCCCGCTTGATTATCACATATTGCCGCGATGAAATGTAAACCGCTTGGTTCCATAACGAGGCGTTCTTGTGAATTCGCTTCGCATAGAAAAATACTAAAGTAATTACATCCTCTATTATTCTCTATGCTATTTATATTAAAAATTTAAATTAGTATTTCCTTTTTCTCTGAGCATTTTAAGACACACATACATACACTCGTATAACACACACTTGATACACGATTCTCTGATAAACGTTTAAAAATGTAGGTACTTTTCGTCTTGATTTGTTTAATTTAGTAAAAATTCACAAAAAAACAAGTTATATTTAAAAAAAAGATCAGCTCAAGAAAGTAATATAAAATAATATGAACAAATAAGTAATACGAAAATTAATCTTTAGAGGACGTCTATTTTCAAACCTTACAATCTATTCTTAAATGAGATTTGTTATAATTTATTATTTCATTGTATTTCTTGTCTCAAAATATGACATTGTTTTAACATCACTATAATGATTTTATCGTCCTATAAAGATTAAAGATAATGCGACAGATAACAAATGGATAAGTAAATCGTTCTCTCGACATTCGATTTTTAAATAAATTATAATACTAAATTAATAGGATGGTTTGTCATACCTTAATTTAAATGAACACTTGCTCACTCGCTAAACTATCAGCAAACGGCGCGACAATTGCTCTTGTGGCAAAATAAAACGTCAAACCGAACGTGGTAGAAATTGGCAACGCGGGTAACGGTTTCTTGAATATAGCCAGCAATAGCAGTGTCAAACAGAGGCCCTATGTAAAAAAAAACAATCGATTAAAAAAATTGTATCGGTATCCATTGCAATGAGCATATTTTAAAATACGTACAATAAGAATAGCAACGAAACAAGCCAACGTGGTGTTCCAATCTCCATAAGTGGACGCTTTTCCGACGAGGACACTGTAAAATATAAAATCCCCGAGACCTAGTTTAACTCCACGTTCCTCCTCGGCGACCGCAGCTTGTCGTTGCGATTCTCGCGGACGATTGTCCTGCTGTCTCGCGCTTTCTCTTATCGCAGACGAGTTCTCGCGTACTTCTTGAACGCGCCTCGTGCTACGCTCATCTGTATAATCAAGATTAATTCAGTTTTTCATTTAAGATCTGTTTGCTAATATTTTTATTTTGTAACTTTTAACGATAACATCGACATGTCATTACACTGTTGTTGCGTAGTTTTTTTATTATATATAAAACTTGCGCAACGACAATATAATGACATGAACATTATCGTTAAGAAAATTACAGAATAGGAACCTTGAATTTAAATTTCGATTTTTTTTTAAATTAAATTATATAATTTATTAATCCATAGAGCTTTTGATTACATTAGTCATACATGGCTGGCTGATTATAAGCTCTTTATTGTTACTTTCAGTGTTTTTCCGCAATCCATAGAGTTTGATTACATTAAATGATTAAATTAATAATTAACATAATTCTTTCTATTAAAAATTTCATTAATATTTAATTCGTACCGTGCGTTTCTACCCATTCGGGAGAGAAACCTCCTTCTTCTGTATCGCCTGATACTGGATTATTTTGATTGTCCGTCTGACCACGCGTAGGAGACGCTGCGGTATCTCCAGACGCCATTGTAGCTGCTTGTACATATCCAGCGTAAGTCACAGTAAATGAGTATAAGATGGTAGAAGAATATATTAGAGCAGGGAAAATAGATTCATTTCTTTCCTGCGCGGTTTCGACAAGTATCCTTAGTGGACCTTTCGGCATTAAAACCGCAATCAAATCTGTAATGCAAGTAAGAATATAAGACCATCCTTGTATGTGTGATAAGTTTCATCTCGAAAACACCTTACCCCAAATACTTATAACACCGAGGACAACCCATGCTGTCCATTCAGGTAAATACTTAATGAAAACGAGTGCCATTAAGGCGGAAATAAAGATCAGATACGCCTGTTGAAGTTGTAACGGCCCTTGCCAGTGAATGCAAATCATTCCGACTACACCAAAATTCCATAAGCCTATAGCTAGCGTGAATAAATCCATTGGAATGTTGTAAGCTTTCAACATTTGCCTGTAAGTACAAACATATCATAAATCTTCTTTTAGATGTTAAAAACAGAAGCCGGTTTCCACTAAAATAAATTAACCCTAGCTATATACACTGAGGTCCCAGAAATCCCAGAACAATTTGCTAAAAATCGAGATGTTTTTAAACTTTTCTTTTTTTTTTAATCTGTATATCTCTAAATTCCTTAATTCTATCGACTTTTACATATTATGGACTTGTTCCTTAATCAATTCTCCATCAATTAAAAAAAATTAATTGAAATATGTCTATTTCTACGGAAATTATGGTAAGAAATATGGATGGAGTCCCAAAGACCTGAGTGTATATTAAGAATAGAAAGAAGAAATATGTACAGCTAGGGTTAACTTTCTTGTCTTGATTTAATTTACTCTGTTTACCTTTTTCTAATTCTTAAAACTAGAAAAAGATAAAAAGTAAGTTATAAATCGAAATTAAAATTAATCTACACTGGCAAAATTTGATAGAAGTATTTTAAATTTATACTTATATCTTCATACTTACTCGCAATATAGAGCGGAAAACATTGAAAGTAACAATAGAGAGCTTATGATCAACCAGCCATGTATGACTTTATAAAATCTGTATTTGTAAAGGATGATAAGTATCACAGTCATAACTACAATGACGCTCATGAGAATCAGCGAATTGGCAAACGCCTGCCAAACTTTGGTACTCGTGTCAGAACTGTCCTCATGAAACGGAGTGTATACTCTGAAAAATTGTTTTGTTATGATAAATCAGTGTACAGCGTGATGACATAAGGCTTGTTTTTTGTCGTTGCATTGGACTACACTAAACTTTCTTACTTTTGTTAAACTTTAAATATATAAATATTTCTTTTTAAGAAGGTTTTTAGACACGTTAGAGAGTTAAAAAATCGATTATTTTTGCTTTCCGAAAGCTTATAAAAAATATAATTATAATAAATTTGGCTATTAGAAATTAGCGCTGTACTATATGAGCCATAAATTTCAAATTATTAAATTGTATCTCGTATATTAATTATTAATATTTATATTAATATTTAATTATTAATTTGTATACATGTTTCGAGGTTAACTTTTTCCTCAGTACATACAGATGAATCCATGTAATTAGGTAAGCGATGAACATAAAACGTATAAAGCTACAGCTATCTGCACATTTTTCGTTAATTTAGCATCCGCAATTTTTTCATGTGAGATGTATGGTCAATCACTTTCTTAGAGTGAAAATGCAACCAGTTGGCTAGCTGGGTGGTGCAATCGTGATTAATTATATATCATTATCGCTTGAACTAGAATTAATAGCTTATGTTTTTTACTATTTTTTGGAAAGTCAAAAAGGAAAAAAATGAGCAAAATTCGAATAATTTTTTCAAATTATCACCATTTGCAAATATGTACATGATATTAATTATGCTAGTTCAGAGAAGAATTACAAATCTACTCATTAAGAAAAAGCTCCATTTTTTTGCTTATTTTATAAAAAACAAACATTTAAAAAAATATTTTTTTACATCTACATTGCACTTTCTAAACCTGTATTATTTTTTAAGTATACCTAAATTTTGATTCATTAAAAAAATTGTCAAAAAACTCTGAAATCAGCTCTCTAACGTGAAAACTTCTTTAAGTACAACAAGTATACGTCAGTCACAAAGAATAACAGAACACATAAGCCATTATTATGAAAGTTGTGAAACTCACAAGTACATTCCCTTAGTTGTATAGAAATGGACTGAACTAATAGTGGCTACCACAACCAGCATACACAGCGAAACAGGGACAAAGAGTTTGATCACATGCGCCGCTCCATACTTCAGTTCTTCCTCTTCCTCATCTCTGTAGTGCCTCCGTCTATTTTGATTATTGCTACCGGATGTGCCTCGTCTATTTGATCGGGCGACAGCTGAGCCTGGCGTTTCGATGTGTACCTCAGGAACCCCATTTTCTATCTGTGACAGAGGAAAAATATTTTTAATGATAATATCTTAAATCTTTCTGCCAAAAAAAAAATTAAAATTATAAAAAATCTTGGATTAATCTTCCTTTAGTAAAGTGGATCAAATGCGACTTCTAGTTTTGTTTATTTATAATGTCTATGCAACAAAAGAAAAAATTTCATGACATCTGATGCTTTCCAATAATAAATACAGTATAATATAGTGATAATTTTATCTTTGGCTGTTTTCAAAAGAAAAAGAAAAATAAGAGACACAGAAGTTATTCTCTCCTTCTTGATATTCAATGAATAACAAAAATAAAGACATTTGTGTAAACTGTCTCCTAAAAAAAGCAGCCTTTGTTTAACATTAGCAAACAAGGACATAATGATTCACTGTGTTATCTATATAATGTATCATGTGTGTCTTTCGTTTCAAAAATATTTATTATTTATTCCTTTTTACTCATCTTATTACATTGATTAGAAAAATATATAAACAGCATGAAGGAAGGTCTGATTCAACTCTACTTTTCTGAATATCTTGAATAACTTGAAAAAAAAAAACTTTGCCATAGAAGAGTTAAATAAAACATTAAAGATCTTCCTGATATTTTTGACGAAAGTTTCTTAAACCTTTCTGCTAACAAGAAAATCGAAATTATTAAAATTCTTTCAGTAAATAAAAGACTGAGAATTTTCTTTAAAAAAACTACTTCTTCATTGGCACTTCTAGAGCGACCCTTCCGACGCTCGTTGTCCAGGATCAGGTCATCCGGGCGAGACTCCGCGACGTGACCGTCCATTAGGCTTGTGTACTCGTTTGCTGAATCGTAGTCACTCTCAGACATTCATCAAAGTCTGTGTTTCAGATAGAGGAAGGCTTGTTTCTCGACAGTTCTTGCCCCGTGCTGTTTCCGATACTCTCGGCACTTTTGGCAGTTTATTCTCTCGCGTCGTGATTACGTAAAAAGAGAAGACACGTAACTTAAGTTCAATTCAACTTTCTCGTTTCTTTAATCATCCTAAATCGCCCGTTCTGCGAGTACAATCTTGCTATTTGTTGACAACCATTTGCAATCTCTCTCTCTCTCTCTCTCTCTCTCTCTTTCTCTCCTGATTCACTGTGCGACTGCCATCTTTAAAAAATAGAATCTGTTCTGAGAATCTGCACTTTATTGCACTTTCTGCTCATTTAAGATACAAGCAAGTTATAACAATTAATTTTTAATTTACATCAGCTCTCACTTTCTGGAGTTATTCTCAGCTTTTCATTAATTCTGCACAGTTTCGCAAATAGTTCAACATTTCTTTTTGTTTAATAAATTTTCGTTCAATTATCGCTGTGTTAATAATATTAATATTGTAGCAATAATGTTAATAATATTAATATAATTTTTTTTTAAATCCATCAGTTAGTGACGTCATCCCAGTACTAAAAAGAATCACATAAAAAAAAGCGACTAGCTCGCAGGTTGCTCGCCAAGCAAATAAATATGATTGTTACTTACAAATCCACCAATCACATTTAATCAGTTAGCCACTTTGACTTGAACGCATCGATGATACAAGGCTGTGTTCGGAAATATCATCCGGGTGTCCCTGTATATCACCTTATCCTTAACATTGGATGAATAATAAGGATAAAACGATACATAGAGGCACTCGGATGATATTTCCGAACGCAGCCCAAGCAGCGTCAATCGATCACGTGACCCCTCTTATCGTTGAAACGACTCATGAAAATATACCTTTACAGGTCATGAAAATATACTTAAAGATCGCCGCCTCGCGGGATTCACGAGGGCTAAATTCTGTGAATACTGTGAACCACTCATTAATTGGCTCGGTTGGCTGTGGTTTGCCGCAGTTTGCCGCCGTTTTGGCACTATCGGCACCGCCGGTATTTGTTACATCCGTTTCGTAATTCTGAGTTCATTGTCCAGTGCCTATCTCTTCCTTTCGCGAACCTTAATCAGATTCAATTGTTGGTTTGGTTTCGACGCGGTAAAACGGTGCCGAGCAGTGGCGAAGGCAAAGTGGAACTCTCCAGGACGCAGACAAATGGCTTGACGTGGTACATGGCCGTGACTAGTCGCGACTAACTCTAGGAACGGGGTTCTCAACAAACTTCACATCATGAATATGCTGTGCTAATACCGTGAATGTCAAACACAATGAGCTTCTCCAGCGATGAGGTCAATTTCTTGGTCTACCGATACCTACAGGAATCCGGTACGATTTCGCCGCTTTATAATCTCGCAGCGCGATCAACGCCGTTCTGCGTCCGCTACACCACGCGTCAAGGGAACCCGGCAATTTTGTGATCTCGACGCGCGATTTCATTGATGCCCGTTTTCATCAATGTAGATAATTTCTCAAATAAATCTTCAAAGGATGTGTCCGATGAGTGCGTTCCGTTTTACATACAATGTACATGATATATTTTATTCTTTCATATCTTTATATCGTACGCTTCATGCGTGAAACGAAACGCATCCTCCTATGTCCTATAAAGCCTATTCTACAATGTGTCTTCGTTTTCTATTTCTTGCTTTTTTCCTCTTGCTTTTTTCCTCTTGCTTTTTCCTCCCTTTGCAACTGTTTTATCGATAATTGCATTTTCTTATTTCTTCCGAAATTTATTAACTTTTATCTCGAGCGACATAAAATAAAAGACCAGATAAGAAGCAAAAAGACATGAGTGTTTGGTCTGTTTTCTGTTCTTGCACTAGATCTTGTTATAGAATTCTCTTTCTTATTTTTGACAAATATCAAACATATATCTCACTTTAAGTTTTAAAAGTGTACACTTGGTCAACCACAAAAAACAGATCTGTAAAAAAAAGCAAAAAGTGGGAATAGAAAACAAAAAGCACATTGTAGAATAGACTTAATAAATATCTTAAGAATATTTCGAAAATATCTTAGATAAAATGTATTATATAGGTTTAATATCGATTTAACTATATCCTTTTTTAATTTTTAGAATTACAAAAAATGAAAAATATGTTGAATTGAGATTAAAGTAAAATTTCTTTATATTGATATAAACAGACATTATTAGTTGATCTTTATAACAAGACTGGTGAATTAAGTGTAACTAAAATTGAGTCACCCAGTCAAATGATTCCTGAAATTTATCTATTAACATGACTTATTGCCATAAAAGTTGTTTATCAATTTGACTTGTCCTGGATTTAAAATACATCTAAGTTTACCTAAATTCATCATTATCTGAGCAACTTGCTCTGTTTCATTCTTGTGATCTTATTTGTGCATTTTTATTTTCTACAGGTTTCCAACATTCTGCATATACATTTGGAATTGAGTCCCACATATCACAGAGTAATATCAATGGAGCCCTTGTACCACCAGCGGCACTCTTGTCCATAATTCAGAAGGGATTGCAATACACAGAAGCAGAGATTATGATTGGCGAAGATGGCACCGAACACAGAATGGTGGAATCTTTGTCGCTCATAGATGCTGTTATGCCAGATATTGTTGCGACACGGCAGAATCAGATCAATCAACAGAAACAGCAGGTGAAGACTGAAGGTCAAGATACCAATGGTGAAGAAGGTAATTTACGTGTACAGATATTTACATAAAAGACTTGTGTTTTTGAATTTTTTACATGTCTTGTTTTACATAACTTGTTTTCACAACATTACTTACAAGTTTAAAGGTTGCTAAAAAATTCATAAATGAATTTCATTGATGATTTTCTTGATAATCTTTAATTTTTAGGTAAATATATATTATGAAAATGGGACTATTTATATCAGATAGGAGATTAAGATTGAATTAAAATTTAATCAATCAGAGCAAAATTTATTAAACTTGATATTGGTTCTTTTTCTTCCGATAGGTTAAATTCAAATCCAATTTCAATCTCTAATCTGATATAATTAAAATTACACTAGCAATTAAGATTACATAGAAAATAATAAATATTATTTATTAGAGAGCCTGATACACCCTGGTCTGGAAAATAAAATAATTTTCAGACCTCCTTAAAATTCAGGTAGATTAAAATAGGACGGCCATAGATTTCGGTCATTTTGCGAGCTACAGCTTGTCACTTCTATCAGACATTACGATAAAAATATGAATCTTCTATGAAGGAACATATTGCTATCATTGAATGCAGCTAGAAGAGACAGCATATAACTCATAACATCAATCTGACTGTCAACTAGTGGCAAACAATTTAAACGAATTAGTTAAATAATAAATAGAAATATATGTAAAGTATTATTGTCAAACGATAATAATAAATATAAGTTAACGCAACTCGTGATTTAACAGTTGATGTCTTTTCATTATTATTTCTATTTTTAGAATAATTATTGGGAAGAGGAATTTGTTTTATTCTTTCAAAACTGTTATAAGAAATCCTTATAAATTAATTAAATAAACGTACGTTTTTTTTCTTAGTTGTTACATCCAATGAAGGTGTAAATAATAGTGACCGAGGTGGGGATCGGGGAACGGAGATGGAAGTGGATGAACCAACAACAGGTGCAAATGCAGGGTCCAATGTTAATACCGTCGAAATTCCTGCTAGTAAAGCGACTAAGTTACGTGGTCATGAATCAGAAGTATTTATTTGTGCCTGGAACCCAACAACTGATTTATTAGCTTCTGGTTCAGGTGATAGTACCGCTCGCATTTGGGATATGTCGGACAATTCACAAGCTCCCAATCAGTTGGTACTACGTCACTGTATCCAAAAAGGTGGTACTGAAGTACCTAGCAATAAAGATGTTACATCGTTGGATTGGAAGGTACAAATTGCATATTGTAAAATAAAATAAATTTGATCCAATCGAAATAACTTTGGCCTAAATTTTAAGAAAACAGCACGTATCCAAAAATAAAAAAAAACGTTTTTAAGATATTTTTAAGATGTTATATATTGATTTTGATATGCGTGCTGTATGGAAATGATCAAAATTTGGATCAAAGCTATCTCGTTTTATGATACCTTTTTATTTATTTTTGAAGAACATTAATACAAACATGCATTTCAAATTTTTACAGTGTGACGGTACATTACTTGCGACGGGAAGTTATGACGGATATGCACGAATCTGGACAACAGATGGTCGTCTGGCATCTACTTTGGGTCAGCACAAAGGTCCGATTTTTGCACTAAAATGGAACAAACGCGGCAATTATATTCTGAGTGCTGGCGTCGATAAGACGACGATTATTTGGGATGCCGAAAGCGGACAATGTACACAACAGTTTAGTTTTCATTGTGCACCTGCTTTGGATGTTGATTGGCAAACAAATACATCATTCGCAAGCTGTTCTACAGATCAGTGCATACATGTGTGCAAACTTAATGTCGATAAGCCCATTAAGAGCTTTCAGGGACATACAGTGCGTATATATGATGCAAGGAAATTATCATGATTTAATTAAACATTTTCTTTTATTTTTTTTTCTTGTCTTGTGTGTTTTGCAGAACGAAGTTAATGCAATTAAATGGGACCCGCAAGGAAACTTATTGGCTAGTTGTTCAGACGATATGAGTCTGAAGATTTGGTCTATGAAACAAGATACTTGGGTACATGATTTGCAAGCACATAGTAAAGAAATCTACACGATTAAATGGTCACCAACTGGTCCAGGAACACACAATCCGAATATGAATCTGACATTGGCGAGTGCATCTTTTGACTCTACTGTTAGATTATGGGATGTGGAAAGGGGTGTTTGCATACACACGCTTACCAAACATACCGAGCCCGTTTATAGTGTAGCATTCAGTCCAGATGGAAAATTTCTTGCTAGTGGTAGTTTCGATAAATGCGTTCATATATGGTCTACGCAAGTAAGTATCGTAGTTTATAATTTTTTTTTATTTTTATAAAATAATGCTGGTTAAAATTAAATTGATTATTTTCTCTTAATTCGAGCAGAGCGGACAGTTGGTACACAGTTACAAAGGTACAGGCGGTATCTTTGAAGTCTGCTGGAATAGTCGCGGTGACAAAGTTGGTGCATCTGCATCTGATGGCAGTGTATTTGTTCTCGATCTTCGTAAATTATAATTATAATTACATCCTAGAAAGTTTTATTCCTGATACAATTTTGTTATAACTCTGCCTTAATTGAACGTACAAAGTTGAATGTATAAGGTATATTGTATGTTCAACTTTTCATTTTCTTATAATAAGATAATTGAAAGCGCAATTTGAAACAAAGAAATTTTCATACATGACAATACAAAGAAAAATAGTGGAATTATTTGCAAAATTTTGCTATATTTCTTCAAAATGTGTATTTCATATTTTCTGTAATATTATTTATGTTCTTTAAATTTTTAATAAGACATTAATAATTTTTATTACAACAATATTGGTAATTTAGGTCAGATTTGAACAAAATACTTTAATTCAGATTTAAACAAAGTTCTATAAACAATCTTTTTGAAAATATTCAATTTTTAATCATTTCCCATAAATATTTATGTTGCTCTAATTTTCCCTTAAATATATTTATGTTACTTATACATGACCTATATGTTACTTATACATAAATATTTTACAAGCACAAAAATTCTTAAAAAATTATGGGTTACATTTATTAAAATTATTGAAAACTTTCAGTTCAAAAAATATTTTTTATATATTTCCCACAAATATTTCATTACAAAAGATGCATGAAAGAAACTGTATATTAACAGTATTTTTGATCGTGACAAACACTGTATAGCATATTTGACAAATTATATTTATAAAGAAATGGGTTGCTTTATTCACTAAAATGACTGGAATATACTATCTATACAATTATAATCACACACAATTAGAATTGTAACTGTGATAGTATTAAATAATATGTAAACATTGACAATGAATAAAAGAAATGAACTTTTTTTTTAAAGAAACACCGTAATTATGATTAAAAAAATGATATTGGTATTTATTTATCATTTATCATAACATATTTTTTATAATGCATAAAAATATAGTAAAATATATCTACTGTTGACTTTAAATGGGATTTGTTATATTATTAATTATATAACTGTTGTCAGTTACCACCACCTTAAAATCATGATTACGAAATAATAGTAAGCGATCCATACGCCGAAAAATTATATTTTGTTTCATATATTTTCGATTTATTTATTTTGATTATATATTATACATTTTTTTAGATAAATAATAATTTTCTATGACTACACAAAATCTATGCTTACACATGTATACGTATTTTAATATATCTATTTTTTATTTTTTAGTGAAATATATAAAACTTAAAATCTTTGACAATAAAAAGGATTCTAAAATGTATATATGATCTCACATGTTATGTACTTTCCTCAAAATACTTTTTACTGTTAATGATTCTAAGTTTTATGTAATATAATCCATCGTTGAAAAACAATGAATGAATATATTAAAATACTTACATATGTATAGAAATATTGAATAAATTCTCCGATTTCCTATATTTTCTCAAACTACATTTAAACGCTTTAAGGCAATTATAACTGGAAATATTCTTGTGGTCAAATGGATATTAAATAATTATTTTAATAATGCATACACGTTTTATTTATCGCATGCTCTGCGAAACTTTCAATATTATGCGTTCCATTAGACATTTTATTTTCAGACAATTGATAATCGCTGTTTTTGTACTTCTATAATGGCACAAGAATAAATACATAACCGAGTTGATACGAAACAATTATCTTAATAATCAACATTAATATTAAGAACAAAATAAAAACAAAGTGTAAGTGATGTAAAACTATTCCTAAATTATAATATTTGGGATACAATCTTGTACTTTTATCAATGAAAATCTTATCGTGTATTATAATAGTCTTTCTTATACAATATTAACAGTATATCTGATCTCCGAACCCTTTTACAAGTTTTTTTCGATTTCCTTATATTTGTGGATTAGTCTCTTTAGTGCATACTATACAGAAAATAGATTTCCCTCAGAATTGTAGACTGCAGGTACACACATATGAGTGTCTCTCATCCGACGATCGATGCCGGTGTACGCGAGAAGCGATAACTATCAATACAACAAGATATTTGTACATTTATAGTTGGCGAGAGTGAAATTGTAAGTGCAATCGACTCGTATTCGTTACATCATCTTCTAGGAATATCGATAAAAGCGCAGTGGAGACGCGAGAATTAAAATACACGCTCTACAGGATCAGGTGTCGGGTATTCTCTGCGAAAAGTAAAAGATATATCTTAAATGAGATCACAATATATAATACTGCTTCGTTACGCCTTTCTTCGTCTTTGAAGAGAATTGAATGCGGAAGAAGACGGAAGTAAAGCTTTACGTAAAGCTCAGATCTTTGTACGTTTCTTTGGAACGTTATGCGCGCCAGTCAAATCTGTCATGCATTGAATCAATCGCATCTCCGAACGATGCACAATCTCGATTCCCATTTCTGCCAGCTTCCGTGACACAGGGTTGTTACATTGATTTATTACCTAACTAAAATAAATAAACACTAAAATTAACGAAGAATCGAAAAGGGAAGTGAATACTGTTGCGAAATATTTCTCGATTCAGGAGAGAGAGAGAGAGAGAGAGAGAGAGAGAGAGAGATAGCAGCAAGTCCGCATTTGTTGTCGATTGTAAAATTCAGCAATTTTTATCATTCATATTGTCCGCCACGGCTGGTGAAATTCGGACTATCTGCTAAACGAGGATAGGCAAGCGGAAGAAAGACAATCGACAAAATAACTTAATGGATGACGATTGATTAAAAATCGCATATAGTAAAGCTAAGATATATCGGTTCTTCTCAAGTTCTTCTTCGCATGCCAAGGCGCGATTACAGCTGGCGAAGCTCATTAGCCTGTACCTGAAGAAAAAAATTATTATATATTAATGTACAATTTTAATTAAATAAGTAAAGTAAAAATTTCTAACAATCAAATTTGCTAATAAAGAAAGCAAATAAGAGTTAAGCGTGGAAATTGATGTACTGAGAAAAATGTTCTGGTTGTACAAAGTACAAGCAAAATGAATTCCAATCATGAATCAGAATTATAACTATCGATTGAATTATCTCAACTAAAATGTTTAATAGATCTGACTGTGTCTATCTATTTTATACTTTTCTACTTGAATCTACCAGAATTCCAATTAATGCAACAAAATTTTCCAATTTGCGTAAGATTAATTAAATGTTTACTTTCTTCAAAATTACGATTGCAACGACGAACAGTGAATTGCATAATCGAAATTATTTAACATGAATTATATATATTACTGAAATAAATCTCTTATAGGCTTTCTACAATAAATCATTACTTAAGATAAGAAATTGATCAACGATAATCGATTATTCTTCTCACATTTCTCTCATGTAATTGCTTTGATTCGGTCAATTTTTTAAGGCTTAAGACTTAAAAAGTTTAAATAATGGCTTATTGTAGAAAGTCCGCATAAGATAAAAGAAACTGTATTTCCTTACCGTTCGATCATCTTGCAATTCGCGGAACAAGGGATTGTTCTCTTCGGTCCATTCGTTCCTGTCGGATGTTGCGGACCGCTCGTTATTCATGCTGGATCTCACGATTCTATCGGCGTTCGATACCGATCTTTTGCCGACACTCTCGAGGAAACGACGATTCTCTTCAACCTGACGTTGATCTTGTAATGCCTTTCTGCGAGCCAGCTCCAGCAGAACTCTCTGCCTCAGCACGTCTAAATTATTCACGATTGACAGAGATCCGATTCTCTTGGTGCGCATCACGTCTGACCCAAAATAGTTCTCCGAATTCAGCATCTCGTCCTATTCAACGTGACAAACATTGTCTCATTAACCCTTGTAATACTGATGGAAACAAGAACGTGAATTCTACCGATGAATCGATTGTTCATATAAATAGATCATCTATTCTTTATTATCAAAATAATTATCGCACGAACAACGTATTTTTATTTTATGTGTTAATTATGAATTTATAATAATCTCATCATAGATTTTGTTAGCATTTCTTTGAAAATAATATTTGAATAAACACATTATATTTTTATATGAATCATCTCAGGATTCATCCTGTTTTAAATAATGTGATTAGATTGCAGTTTTACGAACATTCTATCTTACTGTTGCATGAACACTAACTATCCACGACAAAATACTATCAACTACATTATTGTATACTTCCATTACATTATTGTAATTGACTAATAGCACTGATGAGTATGTTTTAATTTTATCAACCGTACATTGCTTAAAGCAACTAATCAAATTTATTGTAAGACCGAATATTTTACGGATTTAACTCTTTCAATTCTGACACTTTTTTCTGTTGAATTTTATATAATATTTCGAAAAAATTAATTTATTAGACAGTGACATTTATGATGAAAAAATCATAAAAATTTCATGTACATATTTAATTATATAAATACATGTATAGACATAATTAAAATTAGATTTAAATAATTTTTGATAAAATGTATACATTATGTACACAGTGTATCATGTTTAAGAGCATTAAGACATTTAATGTTAACCTCTGGCATAAACATTTTGATAATTAATTTGACAACTAAGTTCTGTAACGATAGAGTCACTGAATTCTAACAAAGAATGGATTCAAGGTAATACCTTCGTGAATACACAGGTATTAAGCAATTTCGTTACGCGAAATTTATGTGCTTTTGCGTAGTTACAATTTATTGTACGATCTTTCTGGGATGTTCAGGGATGTTGTAGATACTTTTATTTTACATCGTGCTTTATGTTTCTTCAGTTCGTATGGAAATTTTACGATCGTATATTCTATTATATGTCTCTGCAACGATTCCTTCAAATCGGTATTTTTCTCTTTTTTTATCACGTCAAACTTATAGATCGGCTTACACAATCGTCGCAGTAATTGCAAATTTACACGCTGCATAGTAGCAGCTGAAAGTGCGCGATCCCTCGAGCGAAAGCTCGTAAAGGAACTTTCACCTTATACTTCATAATGCACCGAATCAGAAAATGCATATTTACAGAGCGAGTAATGAATGTATATGAATAATAAAAGTACTGCCATCATCAGGTCGTCGTTGCTACTTTTATGCAGCGTGCCTTGAAGCGAATAAAAAATTCTAGAATGCATGCTGCAAATTTTTTTACTATCGCTTTTGTAATGTTTCAAAGTAGTGAACAAACAAGCATTTTGTCAAAGAATGCTACATATGAGCTTGCTACGTATGAATATTTATTCACACAAATATTCTTAAAAATTTCCTATATTAATGTAAAGAAAAACAGTGATTCCGAAAGTCGAAAAATTATTATTTTCTCATAAAATGTCAGATTTGAGGATAAATGGAACGAATTGTGTTATGTACAAAAATAGATGAGTAGCATATAGTTTATCCATGAAAAAAGATAATTTCTTCTGTTATCATAAGATTGTATTATCGCGTATACATAACTTTTTTTGACGCAGATAGCTTTCTCGAAGATGATTTTGAAGAAGTGACCGATTTATTCTTGTAGATACAAAAATATCTTACGACATATTTTCCTAATAAAAAATATGTATAATTATGAAATTAATTGCTCGATAATTGCGCCATTATATCGATGATTTCTTCAGACTTGTCTGGATATAAAATTTATAGTATAGTATATATAGTATAGTATATATATTTACACACGCGCACAATAATAATATTTAAGCTCCACAAATAGCAAGAGACACTGATAATGTCTCGACGCTAAGCCACGCGCAACGACATTACCATGGCTACTTTACGCAAGACTGCGTAAGATTAACTTTAATCTCGATTTAACTTACTATTTATCTTTTTTTAATTCTAAAGTAATCTTACATTTCACGTTAGAAAGTCTAAATCTTTTGCCTTTTTAGACGTAATAGGTTTATAAAGTGAGAAGAAAATTTCTCATTTTATCTAGCTTTCTTTAGAATAGTTTTCTTTATCTAAAAATTACCAAACTTACAGGAACTCAAAAGACATAGTGATCTGTCGGAAGTAAAAATTTGTAGCTTCAAAATCTTTTTTTTAAATTTAAATTTCGTTTATTTTAAACGAAGTTATAGCTACTTGAATTTTGGAATTTATAGCGCTATGAATTTTTGTTCCATCCCAGAATATTTCGGCATTATATATATTTTTATTGTTCAATACTAGAATAAATATATCCGGTATTTTGAATTTCTATTGGAGCGAAGAATATGCGTAAAAACTATGAATAAAGGAACGCTTTAGATCGCGTCCCAGTGAGAAATAACAATGGAATCGATATCGATTCAACGTCGAAATCATCAAATTCGACGTCGATTCGATATGGATTTGATGTCAATTCCTTTGTGACTGGGATTTCTGACTGGGGTGTCGATCTATCTGCTTCATATAGATGGTAGCCAGCTACACGGGCAATAATAAGGAGGGCTACAAGTAAGACGACGTGGGATCTCCCATGTGCAGAGAAATCAAGGAGAGATGTTTCCATTCATGACGCGCTCCTGATTCACTCACGTAACATACGTTTACGTCATTTTCCGTCCTCTTTCGATACCAAACCGCGACGATTGTCTCTCATTCGCCAGCATCCCGATGCATTCCATCGCGAGTAAATGTACGTCATCTGCGCGGATACCGGTCGATCGTAATACACGCTTAACAATTCAAAATGCTCGTAAACTAAGAGATCCGATGAGACACGTGTCGAACATTTGTTGCCTGACACAATGGTATTCGTATATTTGGAATACATTATTCTGTTAAGTGACGAACGCGCGTCTCATGTGCTTAGAACTTATCGACAGATTATTAATAATGCTCTCTTATCGTGACATATCTTTTTTTCTTTCACTTATAGAATAAAAATGAATATACACATAAAGGTATGGACATAAAGCATTAATTGTTTTTATCATGTTCTGAATGAAAGCACGATGAATAATTTGAAAGACTTATTACTTTTATTAATTGCAAAATTCCTAGCATTTAATCTAAACAAGAAAAAATAATTTAAAAAAAGCATATTTTTTTTATTCATGTCTATCTATATTTTATCAATTTAGGATGTTTAGGTTTCTATAGTATTGTTTTTTTATACTTCAATCTCAATTTGCTGTGTAGCATAAAATAAGATAGAAGAATGGAAGAGATCATTCTCGTTATAAGATTATAAAATTATAAATTTATAAAATTATTTTTAGATTAGAATTATTGTTTTATGTTTTGGTTTCACAATATTTCTGTACACATATTTGCCGTACTATTTTATTCGAGACAGAACGTACCTCCAATTCTGGTATTCTTTGATCGATCAACAGGAAAAATTTGGGATGCTCGTCTGACATGTCCCTTCTTTCGTACGATAGAGGAGCGGAACTTGTGAGTCCGATTATCGTCATCGATACCAAGATACCAAGCAGTATCATCGTGCAGGAAGAATGTAAATTATTAACGTTCATCTCTGAAACACATCATCGAAACACTTGCAGGTGATAACAAATCGGTAGTGTTTATTACCAACAGTAAATCGGATTTTTATCGAAAGAAATGTTTAAATATTACTACTTTCCTTATTCTCACAACAAGTTCAGAACATTCATTTCTCGAATTAAATTGCATAATGACTTATATTTAGACTGCACATTTTTTCGCGTCGTGATAGACTTTTATCTCGAGTTTTTGCGTCGCGTTTACGTCGAGATAAGAAAGACTTTAAAGAAAAAGTTTGTTGCAGATGGACAAATTGATTTTAAACATAAATTTCATCATCTCCGGTTAATTTTATCGGTTATTTACCTTTTTCTAATTTTTAAAATTAGAAAAAGATAAAGAGAAAATTGAACCGAGATTAAAGTTAATTTTACATTAGTGGAACTTAAATATAAGAATTGCCAGCTGCAAAGCTTAAAACTTATTTCTGTAAAATATTAATATGTTTAATTAATAATTAAGTAATACGTTTGATTACAAAATAATTAAGATAAAGATGATTAGTTTTTAGTTTTGCGGTTGATAATTTTAAAATTTATTCAGCTGATTAACTTCATTGTTAATCGAAGATGATAAATTTACAAACCATGAATGAAATCAGAAAGAAAAAAAATTGTGCATGCAAATTTGTCTTTTGCGAAACTTTTTTTTATTTTCTGGAGTTTACGATTCAAGAGCAATTTCTTTTATCGGCTTTCGTTTTCTGCCATCCCTCACGTGTGATGATTCACAAGAAGTTATAAATTCCAGCTGTAGCGACGGTAGATGAGAACTACTTTGTGCACGAATTGCTTGCCGTGCTTACATCCGGTCAGTTTAACAATAAGTCTCTCTTTGTCCCTCGATTTGCATTAAAGCACGCATCCCCAAGGAAACTATCGCCTTGCTAAATTATAATTTTAATACGTAGGCTTTTCTTACAAAGTATAAATTGTCAAGTCATATTGTCTGTAATTTTAATTTTTTAAATCTTTACCTTTTGTGTTTAATAAACAACATTTAATATTATTATTTAATATTTATTTAATATTAAAAAAAAGTATAAAAAAGACAAAAATAAAGAAGAAATTTATTTTCCTGGCCGTGACGTAAAATTTTGATACTTTTTTAGGACAGAGCATTTTAGAGTTTAAAAGTATTTATATATTTTTTAGATATTTGTAGATAAGCTACATGTTTATTACGTAAATTAAAAATATTATATTTAAAAAATATTCTTTTGGTTATTCTTTTAGTTTATGTTTCTATAATATTTTTCTTTTTTTAAATTTTTGAAATGACAATAGTTTTTAAAATGTATTATTCTTAACAATTACATATATTTGAAATTCATTTATTATTAATTATTTTTATTAAATAAAAATGACAGTTAACATGTACAAAATAATAAATGTTTCTGTGAGACGTAGACGTTGTCATGGTTGTCGTTGTTGTCGTCATCGTCCAAGTCTATTAACACCGAGGGGCTTAATTTACCGCTCGTAATTTAGGGCTGCCGTACTGCTTTTCAATTACATGCTGCGAGTCGACTGGCGACTTGATTCCACGTGGTTTCAATCCCATCCCTCTATTACTGACTTTTCTTTTTAGTATTGTACTAGTGTCCAAGATTTGTCACGTGGATTTTTAATTAATGTCTAGATAGAAATTGGTACAGTGGTCAAAGAGGATTAGGTATCTCATTATCAAAGTACTATTCAACAAGTACAAGCTGTGTAACTATTCATTAGGCAACTTGGACAATTAGTAGACAACGTTGACGTTAAAAGAGACCTTACAAATGGGATCTACAAATGGGATTTACAGAATAAGCACAATACATTTGATCATCCTCGATTTCTTTTTTTTTTTTAATTAGAGATTATTGAGGATTCTTCTTAAAATTTTATACTTTTTTGTATTAAAAAAAATATTTTAAATTTGCAAACAAAAATAAATTTAAAGAAAGGCAAGTAAATCTTTTTTTAGAAAATAAAAAAATTGTGAAACTAAAGAAATAATAATTGAAATTTATGTATACAATCATAATTGTTTCTTGTATTGTACATTAAAGAAATTTTGTAATACAATTTAAAAAAGAATAAATCAGATAAAAAATGTCAATTTCATTTTTTTTAATGTAAATAATAATAAAAATTTTTACAGTATAGAAATATCAAAATGTCTAGATTAAGAAATACATCTTTGTTTTTGCTGACAATACAATTTAATTATACGATCCGAAAAGAAGAAATATTTTGCATTATAATTTAAGCTAAATGTTAAACAGTTACGTAGAATACCAGATAATGAGATTTTTTTTATCCATTATGTAACAATTATAATTTGTTATTTTAAGAATTGTTAATGAAATGCATAATATTTAATACAAATGCATAATACATAATTATTTAATCAATATGTAAGTGATGATTGATGAGAATATCAATGTACAAAATACTAATTGATAAATGTTAATTGCGATCCTCAAGAAATCTTATACATTTAAATTTTCAACAAACTTTATAATTATATTAATGAAAATTAATACTGAAACGTATTCCAATAATAAATGCACTTAATAATAATTTTCAACTATTTAATTAATAAGAATGCTTAAGAAAAAATCAGTGTTGTCAGTTTCCTTTCACCACAATTATTCTAATTAGCTTCACAAAATGTGTGCAACTGTTTTGAGATATTTCAGTAGAAGAAGCCTTATCAAATCAGACCACACGACAACGAATTAGCAAATTCTATTCCATTCGCATAACGCACAATCTTTACTTCGATATAATGATCGTTGAAATTTGATTTTGCAAAGCATTGTAATGAACTGCGATATTCCTCGGGTTGTTTTCCGATATGCAAATGACGGACACGCTGCAAAATCGAGGAAATTATACAAACGTAGTAGAGTTATCGCGATAATTTGATGTACAAATGTGAATCAAATTACGTCCTCATTATCTGCATGACAGTGTCCACCATCCTGTAATTTATGTAAATGTCCACTGATTAAGTGAATGAACGTGCCTGCAATAACATATCATTTAGGCAATATACATTGGCTCGATATTTCGAATTCTTTATTCGCTTTTCCCTAAATATCCAACTCGAAATTTAGTTTCTATTAGTTTCGAACGTTATCCTGGCTCCCCTCATAAGATGCTCAGAATTTATACCGAATGCTGTTTATAATTCGTGATACGCTACAAGACGCTATTCGGTAATTTTGAGTAGATCTCCGTATATCTTCAAATGAAATTGAACGATAATTCTGTTATGAGAAAGGAGTTTCTCCTTTACAGATTATATACAGAGTGTTTGGAATTTAAATGTCAAAACTTCAGAAGCGTATAGAAGATCGATAAACTAAGTTATGAGATATGCTCATTTTTGTTTCATTTTGAAGAAAATCACAAAAAAGATAAAACGTAGTTGCTTTGTTCTTGCATAGTCTTTGAAGTATTATCGTTGCTGAAATCATGCATGAAAACAATAAATTAACTCAAGAGAATCGATAAACGATAAAAAACTCAAGATTCGTTAATCAACTCAAGAGAACAATCGAGAAATCGAATCAAGGCTGCAGTGTACCAAATATCATCAAATCAGTTTGACTACAACACTACAGCTGTACTAGATACATTGTTGCAAAAGATCAACATTTTAAACAATATTTACATTAAGCAAGTGAATAAATACAACGTGAATAAGTAATGAGAAAGTATAAAAATGAAAACTGTACGTTTTGTCTTTTTTGTGATTTTTTTCCAAAACAGAGCAAAAACGAGCGATATCTCTACAGACTTTTTTTTTATTTATCAATGCCCTACATTCTACCGAAGTTTTAACATTTAAATTCCAAACACCCTGTATATGTATTATAGTCTAAATTTATTTGTTAATATTTTCGATTATTATCTTTATTCTTATTCATTCGGTTTATTTAACATAATTATTCTCATTGATGATTTACAGTTAAATAAAGATTTATGTATTCTATACATCTTTTAGATAAAGATAAATGCAAATTTAATTGTGAAATAATTAAATTTAATTTGAACTAAATTTATAATGTGTAATGTGTATAAATAGCACTCACATTTAGCGAATTTATAATTTCGGGAGTCCCGAACATTTCATGTGAATAAAGGATTTAATGAAGATCTATTAGGTGTTGGAATTAATTCGTAGCGTTTTTTAATGAAAGAATGTTATTTATTTCACATGAGCATTAAAAAATACATTAATGAAAGTACTTCCCATCACTTGTAAAACGCTACGAATTAATTCCAACACCTAATATGTTAATAATAATAATAATAATTAGTGACGTACATTTGTCTATTATATGTCAATATCATTTAATTTTGAAATGTAATAATCTTATGTCAAAAAATTAGAAATGTAATCTAACATTATTAAATTAATGTGCAATTTAATATTATAAAGACATTGATGAGAAATATATATATAAAATGATCGAAAATTGATATATATTTATTATATACATACATATATGTATATTGGCTGCTATTTATTTATTAAAAGTAACGCTTTTGTTTCGAAAATTGATGAGAGCGAAAGAATATTTCTGTAACATGTAAAACTTATTTATCCTAGCTTGTTTTCTTAGTTCCTCTAACTTCTTTCAACTTGACCGTTGATCATAAACTTTACTTTCTTATGTACTTATATAAAGTTCATAAATCCTTTCTTCTTGCTTTATTAATTCTTAGTTTATACTAGCAAAGATATTGAACGATTGAACTTAAGATTTTGTATTTTGTACATTACATTGGAAAATATATACTCAATTTTAATAAATATTTATTCGAAAAAGTTTTAAATAAATATTTATTTATTGTAAGGAAGAAATATGTATTAAGATCTGGTAAATTTTTTTCAGTGCATTTCTCTTAGTGAATATAAAAAACAAATTGCCTTGAATAACTTAGTTATCGTAACTTTTATTTGTAACTTGTT